GAGACTCTTTCAGAGGCAGGCATTGCTCATCTGAAGGAAATGACCCATTAGCACTTGATGCCTCCTTCCCAGTAAGCATCCAGGTTAAGGTGCCATGGGTGCTGTAGAGGGCTTGTCCAGTACACACAAAGCACGGGCTCCATCCCTAGCACAATATAACTCTGGTGTGGTGTGTGCCTACAGTATTAGCACCTGGGAAATGAGGCAGGAAGGTTAGAAGCTCAATGTCATTTTCAATTACACAGTGAGTTAGAGACCATCCTGAAATACATGAGACCCTGTCTCAAACAACCAAAGCAACAACAACAACAACAAAAAACCAAGACTTAGGTCAGCCCGGGTATCTTTATTCCAAATTTCCATTCCCCCTCCCCACCTCTCTTCTCTCTCTCTCTCTCTCTCTGTCTCTCTCTCTCTCTCTCTCTCTCTCTCTCTCTCTCTCTCTTTCTGTCTCTCTCTCTCCCTCCTTTTCTTTCTCTCACAGAGTCTCAGGCTAGCCTTTCAAACCCTTGATCTTCTGCCTCACTCTGCTGAGTCCTGGGATTACAGGCATGCACCAAAAAGTCCAATGACAAATTTTAGTTGCTTAACAGTTAAATGTAAATCAGATTTTTAGATGATTTTTGGCAGGAAGCAAGAGACCTCATCAAACACTATCAAAGTGTGAAAACAGAATGTAAAACACGGACATAAAAGAACAGTTGCATATTCTGCAGAGTGACAAACAAGACAGCTCTAAATGAGTGAATCCAAAAATGAAAGACTAACAGGAAACCCTGAGAATAAAAGAGGCTGTAGATGGAACTCAGAGGCAGAGCATTCATTATCTAGCATGCAGGGGCCCTGGGTTCTGTCCCAAAAGCCATGAAAAATCAAATAGAAGCAAGCCCTCATCTCTCTCTCTCTCTCTCTCTCTCTCTCTCTCTCTCTCTCTCTCTCTCTCGTCTTTATTATCTTTAATATTTTCATTTTACATATAGATCCCAGTTCCTTTCCATCTTCTCATGCCACCCACAACCCCCCATCCACTCCCCAGGGAGTATGAGGCCTTCCAGAAGGAATCATCAAAACCTTCAAGTCATTTGGGGTAAGGCATAGGCCCTCCCTCCTGTCTCTAGGCTAAGGGAATATCATTCCATGGGGAATGGGCTCCCGAAGTCCGTTCCTGCACTAGGGATACATCCTGGTTCCACCGTCAGAGGTACCATAGACTGTCCAGGCCTCCTGACTGAGACCCACATTCAGGGGGTCTGGGTCAGTCCTATGCTGGTTACCCAGATATCAGTCTGGGTGACCATGAGATCCCCTTTGTTCAGGTCAGCTATTTCTGTGGGTTCCTCCAGCCTGGTCTTGTTCCCTTTGCTCATCACTCCTCCCTCTCTGCAACTGGATTCCAGGAGTTCGGCTAGTGTTTAGCTGTGGGTATCTGCTTCTGCTTCTGCTTCCATCAGCTACTGGATGAAAACTCTAGGATGGCATATAAGGTACTCATCAATCTCATTATCAGGGAAGGAGCAAGCTCTCCTCTCTATGAGAAGATGAGTATCCTCTGTAGGTTCAACACTGTGGGAACAGGCAGGAACTTGTGACAGGTGAGTGCATGTGACAAGAGTCTACATCTGCTGAGAAGCTCTGAGCCATCCAACTGCTAAATGGAGGGATGGAAACTAATATTAAACTTGATTGCATAAACTGAGATTTCTGTTTAAAAACATAGCAAGGGCTGGGGATGTAGCTCAGTGGTTGTACTGGATAGTTTTATGCCAACTTGACACAGGCTAGCGTCATCAGAGAGGAGGAGCCTCAGTTGAGAAAATGCCTCCAAAAGATAGGGCTGTAGGCAAGCCTGTAGGACATTTTCTTAATTAATGATTAATGGGGAGGGCACAGCCCACTGTGGTTGGTGCCATCCCTGGGCTGGTGGTCCCAGGTTCTAAACGAACACAGGCAGAATAAGCCATGAGGAGCAAGCCATTAAGTAGCATCCCTCCGCAGCCTCTGCATCAGCTCCTACCTCCAGGCTCCCCCCCTACTTGAGTTCCCATCTTGGTTTGCTTTGATGATGAACTGTGATGTGGAAGCATCAGCACAATAAGCTCTTTCCTCTCCAAGTTGCTTTGGTCAAGGTGTTTCATCATAGCAGTAGTAAGATAGTGTTGTCTTAGGGTTTTATTGTTTCAATGAGAAACCATGATCACAGCAACTCTTATAAAGGAAAACATTTAACTGGGGCTGGCTTACAGTTCAGAGCTTTAGTCTATTATTTTATGACTGGAAGCAGACATGGTGCTGGAGAGGAGCTGAGAGATCTACATCTGGGTCAGCAGGCAGCAGGAAGACAGTGACACTGGTTCTGGCTTGAGCATTTGAAACTTCAAAGCCCACCCCCAGTGACACTGCCTCCAACAAGGCCACATCTCCTACAGTGCTGCTCCCTGTGAGCCATGGAGGCCATCTTCTTTCAAACAACCACAGTAGTAAAGCAACTGCCTAGAATAAGCAAGACCCTCAGTTCCATCATTAGCATAAAAAAGCCAGACTCAAGAATAACAAACTCTGAAGTAACAGTTCAACTCTGTAATGATCTTTCCCATCGTAAACTCTGAGCAGAAGCAGTGGGGGAACAAATTAAAGTAAGAACAAAAGGAAGTGTGTGGCCCAAATGTGCCATAATGGGATGTCATCCACTTCTCACTAATGTGATCAATCCAACAGTGATCTACAGGGATGGTGTGGAGGACCAACTATTAGCTACCCACAAAGGGGATGGGGTACCAAAACCTAAAGACTGGCATCTTCTACTGCTTGAACTTTTAAATGACCTTATCTTATGCATGGTGCCATAACTTTAATGCCACCATGATGTACACAAATGTCTCAACTCAAAGAAATGGAGTCCAACTCTCTTTGTATGTAATAGACATACAAAATAAGGATTTTATCTTAGTCCAATGTAAAGTCAGTAGACAGTACAGTAGGGTTTACTTTGGACATTTACCAGATAAATGACTGAGGTCTGGGAGCTAGCTGTTTTCTCGTATGGAAAATATTTCTGCCAACTTGCAGAATTGGTTTAAATATCACTTCAAACACACAGAAGGCTCTCAACATAGGACCAGCCCTTGGCAGACATCCAGGCCACAGCAAAAGCCACTACTGCCACTTCCAAACATCATCATCATCATAATAATAATAATAATAATAAATAACCAAAAATAAGCATTCCTATGTATGCAGATAGATCATAGTATTTTGAGATAAAATATAAGGAACAGGTCTAAAAAATTAAAAGATAATGCAAAATTATCTGGAAGCAAACTGCTTTGCTACTGAAGGCAACTTAAAAAAAAAAAGAAAACTCAACTTTTTAAAGTGGTTATATAATTATTTATTTGTTTGTCTGATACAAGGTCTTACCCTGTAACCCTGGTTGATCTGGAGCTCTGTGTATGCAGCATGGCCTCAAACTCACAGTGAGCCTCCTGCCTCAGCTTCCTGCCCAGTTTCATGCAATTTTTGCAAATGATTTCCCCCTGGATCTTGCTTCCTAGCTGTATAGTAATGGGGTTGTAATGTTCTAAAGGCACACCACATTCAGAAGCACCCAGTTATAGGGGACAAATACAGGTCCTCTGCCACCATATGATAATGACTCCTAAGTAACTTCTAAAATGTCTGGGCAGTCATTTAAGCATTGAAAACAATTAGGTTGGTGTACTTCAGTGGCAGAGCATTTACCTAGCACATACCGGTCCTGGATTTCAAATTCTACACCACACACATGTAAGAATAATTTTGGAATTATGAATAATGATTAAAAACAAGTATATAGAATAAGAATGTTAGAAAGTGGAGCTGGAGAGATGGCTCAGTGATTAAAAGCACTATCTATTCTTCCAGAGAACCTAGGTTCAATTCCCAGCACTCACATGGCAGCTCACACCATCTGCTACTCTAGTTCCAGGGGATCTGACGCCCTCCTCTGGTCTCCACCAGCAATGCATACACAGTGCACAGACATACATGCAGACAAAACACTCATACACAGTAAAAAAGAAAGCAAAACAGGTAACACTCATACACACAAAAAGAAAGCAAAACAGGTATGTTAGAAAGTAATCCAGATTGTAGCTGTAGTGTAAACAAAGGAGCATGACCCTCAACAGAGCCATAAGGCTCTGTGTTTTTCATTCTAGAGAAGTCATTCCACAAACAGAAGCCATGGGCGGGGCGGGGGGTAGTGCTGCTGCAGTTCCTGAGTGTGCACAGCAGCCTGCTCTGCCACCTTACAGTACACACTAGTGAAACTAGGAAACACCAACTCTAGAACACATAGTGACGCTGCATGGTAAGCTGTGGTGTCTGCCACAAAGATGCAAAGTGAAAATGAGAAACAAATGTGGGAAAGGTCAGAAAAGCCCCTGCTGCCCTTGTAAGTCTCCAAGGCCCAGGTGACCAGGGCATTGTGCTGGCACCTGAAAAAGATAGAAGAGCCTCAGACTGCTTAGATGGAGTGGGAACCTTGGGAGGCCCATTTGTCTTCAGGTTCTGCTCACGCTGCTCCCATCCTCTGCCCTGTCTAGGAACTCTTTCTCCATCAGGGTGACCTGGATTTGTGTCCCTCATAATACTTCTCGAAAGACGTCTTGACTCCTCCCTCCCATACCCAGACTTCCCTGCCCCACTTCAGTAGCCCCAGGGTGCTCTTCCAGAGCCTTATGGAACTCTGATGCCACCTGTCCACTAGTCCCTAAAAGCCCGGAGCACTCAGCATGCATTGAGTACTGAATGAATATGAGTGGGGGATGGGTAGATGGATGGATAGGATGATGAACGAAGAGGTGATATAGAACAGTGACCCAAAACAGGCAATGTTCTAAAGAAGGGAAGACAGGCTCACTCTGCCCATAAGGAAAGGGAAAATCTGGAAGAAGGCCACAGCTTCTCTGAGGTCCCTGAGTCACTGACAGTGGTGTATAAAAGCTTATGGGAAGCTTTACCCAGGGAAGCCAGCAGCTCATAGTTCATCTGCATCACATCTCTGTAGAGCCTCTTCTGCTGCTTGTCCAGCAGACCCCACTCCTCCCGAGTGAAGTATACCGCCACATCCTCAAACGTTGCAGCGAGCTCTCCAAACACCCTGGAATCCTTCAGCTGCTCATTGTCAGAAGGCTCCTGCAACATAGAGCAGAATTGTTTACCCCACTGTTGGAGTGAGACATAGGTTATGTCTGCAGCCTTCTGAAGATACCCTTCTCCTGGGAATACCACCAAGTGGCCCGAGAATGAACTCCCTGCTGAAAGTCATCAAATCCACGAGCCCCAGATAGTACATAAACCAAACTGGTTCAGTCATACCCAAGTATCTTCAGGAAAGAGAAAAACTCACAGAATAGCACCTATGGCTGTATGCTGTCACCTGGAGACCCACAGTGATGGTAAACCCACTGTGGCTGTAGAGAAGGCAAGGGTGTGAAGGACGCACAGTTAGAAAGAACTAAAGGTGTGTCTAACTAGGGAGGGTTCTACACACAACACACTGCTAGAACGCTTAAGCTCTGAAGGTCAGATTACCTCCTAACACTAAAGATAGGGTGATGGGAGGGGTGCACGTCTTTAATCCCAGCAGAGGCAGGTGAATCTCTGTGAATTTGAGGCCAGCCTGGTCTACAGGGCAAGTTCTAGGGCAGGTTCCTAAGCTACACAGAGAAATCCTGTCTTGAAAAACCAAAAACCAAACTAAAACAAACAAAAAAGCAACCAAAAACAAAACACTAAAAAATAACAAGACCCTGAAGAGCAGCTTTGCTCTTTCTCTGGATTCTGGAAAAATTTGACCACGCAGGAGAGAGCTCATGCAATGTATCTGTGAGGAACATCTGAGCTACCCCTGACCCCTGACCACCAATGTTTTACTGTTAAATCCTACTTGCTTGAGAAAGTAGAGAGCTAGAGAAAATTCAAGTCACTCAAAGATCCCAGTGAACGGTTTCCTTAGTTACCAACTTTCCAGGAAAGCAGCTACTCATGAGACAAATACAAGCTGAATATTATCATCCAGCATAGCTGTACAAAATGGAAGGGAAGTACCAGGCTGGTGGTCAGGGCTCTGGGCAAAGGCCAGCACTGGCCACAACAGCTTGTGGATTTTGCAATCCATAAGGCAATTCTCCCTAAGTCTCAGTTTTCTCCTGATATGGTGAATTTAGCAATCCTTGCTTTACCACCTCAGAGTAACCTTAGACACAGCTCATCACATAGTACCTGTGAAAACTCTATGATGTTAAAATGCTAAAGATACTAAATATTACAACACAGGCTATGCTGAGTTTGTGATGTTAAAATGCTAAAGATACTAAATATTACAACACAGGCTATGCTGAGTTTGTGATGGTGGACTGTTTCTTGAGTTCTGTGGCTGTTCTGAATGCTGGATAAAGATCATCATTTCTTCTATGAAAAGTCAGGGTGTTCTGTACCAGGAGTTAGGCTTTGTTGTCTTTAAAACAAGATAATCCAGCAGTTGTCCTAGCTAAATGAGTTAATATCTATAAAGCATTTAAAGCAATACCTAGTGCATTAAAATAATATGAGCTAGGGCTAGAGAGATGGCTCAGTGATTAAGAGCACTTGCTGCTCTTCCAGAGAAGCTGGGTTCAATTGCCAGCACCCACATGTCAGCTCTCAACATTTATGACTTCAGTTCCAGAGGATCTGATGCACTTTTCTGGCTTCCACAGGTACTATGATATATACATGTGATGCAAAAACACATGTGCAGATACTCATACACATACAATAAAAATAGATACCAAAAAATAGAAAAGCATGTGTACTCTGGTGATCCTATGATGTCAGTGCTGAATATCACTACTGATCCTTTTCTACCATCATTATGTAATTTATGTTACGTTCAGTATGGAGTCCTCTTTAAGGCACACCAATCAATAAACATATTACCTGGCTGCAGAATTCAATAGTGTCCTTACACATGTTGCTATTTGGGGGATGGAGGATGCCACTACCAACGTCTTTTTGCCTCAAATCTGACATACACTCTGGATACAATGCAGGGATGGCTCCACTTCCTGGAGGGTCCTCAAGTTCAGCTCTTGGGCTTGACAGGAGCTCAGCTATGCCATCAAAGTCTCCCAGGGGCCCTGGAGGATAGAACACGGGATAGTCTGCAGTGAAGAGGTACTCAGGGCTGGCCAGGGTATCTACAGAACTCTCCCTGACACCCTGAAGGTGGGCTACCCAGATGGAGTCCTTGGCAGTCAGGGCAATGACACAGAACATGTGCTTTGCTCCTGGAATGGTATTTGAGTTTCCACCTAGAAAGGTCCTGTGTAGCCTTCTATTAATCCTGACTGCCTGTTCCTGACAGATGGGTATTCTCGGCAGACAGCACAGAACAGAGTTGTCTGTTCCTCATTCATGATCAACCACGGAAACTGTGTGAACCATGGCTTCTGGATAGAACAGAGTTTCGGGAGGTTCTTGTTTCTTCCTGACCAGTCTCCCTCAATTGTGCTGTTCTCTGTGCTGAAGTGGACAAGGCAGGCTTTCTCTTGAGGTAGCATACCATCCTTTCTCTCTGGTGAAACCCTGCATATCTATTTCTTCTACATAGCTCACATGGGTTTTTCCTTTCAAGGAAAGAGATAAATGAAACGTGAAATGCTATGGTCTGAGAGCCATCAAGCATACAAATGGTAGAAGGGCACACTCAGTCCAAAATGATGCCCCTTCCTCTTTACTTATTCATAATGATATCATAATTGAATTCTCAACTTTCACTGTCTGATTCTTCATACCCATCTCGCTTCACCCAGAAGGAAATCAAAAAGGTGTGCTTTATGCAAATGTTTCCTTTCAAAACAAACAAACAAAAAAAGAATTAAAGGATAGATGCATTGTAATATCAAATGGACATCGCAGCACTTTGATCAAGGCCACCTCAAATAGTGGCCCTTTCCCAGGTTCAGAGCTCAGAACAAAACACCGAGAACATGGCAACACAGGTTTAAGGACATCGAGGAACCAGACTGCAGCTCTCACCCTGCAGGAACTTCTCTCTGGGTTGGGCCTGATAGAGAGGCCCCTGCATTCTGCTTAAGTGTCTAAGGCAAGACAGCCACCTATCTCCTGGGCATCTGGTAAACTGCAACCCACCTTTGAGTACAACAGTCCTCCTAATCTGCAGGGAATGTGCTCCAGGCCCCTGGCAGATGTCTGGGCTGTGGAGTGTCCCACACTATGTACTGTATTTGTTCCCATCTATACTTAAAAGCAATAACGTTTCTTTTATAAATTAGGCATAGTAAGCAAATAGCAATAACAAACTAGAACATAATAATACCATAATTAAGGTTATGAAAATGTGATCTCTCTTTAAAACACCTTCCTGTATTATTACATTAACTGTGATTGACCGTTGGTTATCTGAAACCATGATGAGACATCATGGATAAAGGGGGTACACACTGCAGACAAATGGGGCCACTGCAGTTCTATCTGGTGAAGCAGATGTGTGCTCAGGGCTCAGTATTACACCTACATAATAATTACAGTATTATTATATATAACCTTTCAGAGATCAAAACTCTCATGGCCTCTCGAAGATGATTCTTCTTTAAACTGAACTAGAAGTTTCTTTCTTTACAGAAATGAAACAGATTAACTGTAATTCCCTGGAGCCACTTCTTAGTCATCAACCTAAGTTTCAGTGGTCGGTGACCAAGGGCTCCTTTCTGTTCAGTCTAAAGAACTGAGCACGGAACTACTAACAGTCAGTAGCCCCAAATGAAAAGCCACACAAGGGGAGACACTGTGTTTGTTAGCAATCACAGCAGTTCAGAGAGGCCTGTGGTCTATCTGAGGAAACCACAAGACGGAGAAAACTCTATGGCTCTGACTCACACAGGAGAATGAGCCCGGCTCCCTGTGTTCTCACAGGAGGAACTGGGTTAATTCTGTCATCTCCTAAAACAGGAGATGTCATCCTTAGGACATAGCAAACAGCTGTTCATTTATTGGTGACAATTCTATAACTACTGTGTGTCAGGCACTGCTATGGTCACTGAAAATACAGTAGGAAGTAAGACAGTCACATCTCTGGAGTTTTCCATATAAACAAACATTTGCCATAGGGCAGAAATCAAGGGAGACAGAGTGCAAGGGCAGGGAAGGGGTATACATTCAGACAAGGCAACATCTGTGGAAAGGACAGTGTTCCTCTTACACATGGTGGGGAACAGACAGATATAGGGTGAGGTTAGCTCCTAGTGTCCCCACTCTGCTCCTTGTCAGATGGTACCACCTTCAGGCACAGACCACACTCACCAGGATGGTGGTTCAGGAGACTCCTCTGGCCCTGCATGTTGCCTAGCCATGGCTTGGTCTCTTGCCCAAACTCATAGAACAGCTCAGGATTGGCAGCAGGTGGTCCTAAGTTGGGAACACAGAAAAGCCATGAGGGGCTCCAGGTCCTAACACCAAGGGGGAACTCTGCCTGGGACTTCCTCCATGTTGTGAGACTGTGGGTGGTATAGGAAAGTGAGAATCAGGTGGTCTGGCTTAGTGGTTTAGAAACTCTGCTATCTGTAAGACCCCAAAGAGGATAGGGGAGCAGGCAAAACCAAGAAAGGCCATAGGTCAAACCAAAATGATATTAAATTTTCAGTTCACAGGGCTGGAGAGATGGCTCAGTGCTTAAGATCACTGGCTGAGCCAGAGGACCCTGGTTCAGTTCCTAGCACCTACACGACAGTTCACAACCATCTATAACCCCAGTTCCAGGGAACCTAACACCCTCTTCTGACTTCCATGGATACCTGGCACACACATGGTACATAGACACACATGCAGAGAAAACATTTATATCCATAATAATACAAGTAAGTAGAAGGTAACCATGTCAGACATAGATCCAGCACTGGCACATAGTCCCACTTACAAGAGATCCCAGAGAGCTACACTGTACATGAAAATTCCCTGTGGTTCATTCTTGGCAACTTAAAACACTTTGTAGATAACCCAAACAAAAACAGTAAAAGCCGAAGTAGCAAACAAAGCAAAGTGGAACAAAACTCCCACTGTGAGTCAAAGCTGACCTGGGAGCTACTGCTTTGCAATTTGAAGTTTCAGAGACTTGGTGGTTTTAAACTTTATTAAACAGACACAGCAATAGGACCCAGTATAGTCATAATTCCACCACCCATGACACTGAGGTCACAGCTCCCACACCTTCATCTGACAAACACGAGTTAATTAGCCTCACACAAAAGGCTCAGGGCCATGGGGACTAGGGCTGTAGCTCAGTTGACACAGTGCTCGCCTACAAAGCTCAAGGCTCTAAATTCAGCCCAATACTTGCAGAGGCACAGGCAGGAAGATCAAAAATTCAGTGTCATTTGTAGCTTTTTAGGGAATTTGAGGATAGTCTGAGCTTCATGAGACTATCAGATTTTGGAATTTTTCAGATTTTTAAGTATTTGCACTTTACTAGTAGAGTACCCCTAGTCTAAAATACTCCAAAAATTGAAAACCTATAAATGCAGGTGACTCTCTAAAAGTTTCAGAGTTTGTAGTATTTCAGATTGCAGACTTTTGGGTTATGGATACTCAATCTAGAACAGAACATATGTGTGCACAAACATTTTGAACACAGTCACTTCTGTCCTTGGTACAGGAGGTAAGATAAAAGGAGAGAAAAGTGTATTTAAAACCTAAAACACAAGAGATGAAAAACATCTAAATTTGTACCAAGTTTTTTAATTCATTTCCTCTCATTAAATTGCCTTAAGAAAAAAATTGAGGCCTACGAGGTCAAAAGCACCTGAGCATCAGTGTGTGGATCTGGAGAGAGAAGAGCAAAACCAATGCTCTGGCCACAACCATGGACTCCCTCCAGGGTCCTGGGGACCCCACAGGTCCACAGACTGTCTCCCACTCAGCCCAAAGCATCAGACTGCTGGGCATTTAAGTTATCCTGGCCAACCTAAAAAGAGGAGAAAAGGACAGGGATTGAGGAGATGAGGAACCAAAGAATTTCAAGAAATTCTCCAATTCGTCCTGACCCAGACAAGGCTGAGGTGGTAGGCGCAGAAATCCATACCTAGAGGTGCTGTCAGCTTGTCGGAAACAGAACAGTCCTTTTGGGGCTGATGGGGCAGCATCCATTCCTCCTGCAGCAAGTACAGTGTGATGTCATCAAAGGTCACAGGAACCTGAAAGGAAAAATGATCTCTGCTAAGTATCCGTTTGAGACGCATCTTCCACACTGGCTGTCAGAGTTCCTACTCTTCGAATTTACCAGTGTGTGGGTCAGATTAGGAAGTGCTGACGGTGTACATGCTCAACCTGCAACCAATCTCTCTTGCTAAATGAGTGCAAATCATAATGGAATAAAATTAGAAATCCACAGTCACTGAACTGAGTCAGAGCCTTCTTTATGAGGCTGACCCAAGAAGTGTATATATTTACATTTTGTACGTGCGCGCACACGCGCGCGTGTGTTTGTGTATACATGTGTGTGAATATGTAGAGATTGGTGTCAGGTGTCTTTCTCAATTGCTTCTCCTCATTTAAATTTTTTTAAATTATAATATTTATATGTATGAGTGTTTTGCCTGCATGTATGTACATTTACCACACTCATACCCTGGGCCTGGGAAAGTCCAAAGAGGATGTCAGATCCCCTCTAACTGGAGTTACAGATGGTTGTGATCTACCATATAGGTGCCAGGAACTGAACTTGAATCTTCTTCAAGAATATCAAGTGTCTTTAACAGCCAAGCCATCTCTCTAGGCCCCAGAAAAAAAAATGTTTTATGAGTATTCTCATCATTGAAACAGAATTACTATTATTTGGTATACGACCTCCCAATTTTTATCTATGAATATATGAAAACATTTTTAAAAGCAGTAGTAGAGTCTAGCAAAAATAGCTTAGCAGGTAAAGGCACTTGCAGCCAACCCTAATGACCTAAGTTAAGTCTAGGACCCACATGACAGAAGAATACTGACCCCTGATTTATACATGTGTGCACGCGCGTGCACACACACACACACACACCATAATAAAGAAGAAAATAGCAGGGAAATGATACTGCAAGCCATTCACTTATAACAAGTATCTGTTATAAGCTCAGAGGAACCTGTTCCAGATGCTACTGCAAAGTGGACACCACTAAAAGTAAGCAGCCAGACAGGAAAGTGGCACATACAAAAACAGCTGAAGGGGATTAGTGTGGAAAAATAAGGAAGAGAATCTGATCCCAGAATGAGTGCTGCACATCAGGACTGGAGGGCAGTCTATTCCTATGGATACAGGCTAATAAACAAAACAAACTAACAAACAAACACCTATAATCCACAGAATATGCCTAGCAGCTGGAGGCCACTGAAGAGTGATGGAGAGTTGAAGGTCAGCCTGCTATATATAGTGAGACCCTATCTTCTAAAACCAACCAAATGAGAAACTCTTGTGACCAGGGACATGCTGCTTCTTCAGGTTGAGAAGGTACCATAAGGAAGTCTGATGGTCCCATCTCCTTAGTGGCACGATGAGGCAGAAACTGAATATGGGATGAAGAAGTGTCTTTTTCACCCAGAGTGATAGACAAATACCTGGCACCCCTCTTTTGTGGCAAACATCTTCTGTTTCTAGGTGACTGTAGTATAAAACCTCAAATCTGCTTGAATAACAGAAACCTTGTTATGAGTAGTTTTTCCCACCAGCCAGGTCCCAGAGCCATGCCAGCCCCAAATAACACACAGAGACGCTGTATTAGAGATAAAGCTGTTGGCCTGTTACTAGTGTTTCTTATTGGCTAGCTCTGTCTTAAATATTAACCCATTTCTATTAATCTAAGTATTTCCACGTGGTCTCATCTTACCAAAGAGAGGATCCAGAGTTCTGCTCCCTTGGTCCTACATGTTTAATCTCCTCCTACCTCTTCCTGAATCCTCCTTGTCTCCTAGTCCCACCTATCTTGCTTTCCTATTGGCCAACAGGGCTTTATTCATTAACCAATAAGAGAAACATATTTACAGAATGATATCTACTACAACTTCTTACCTATGTAGGATGCAGAGTGTATCTGAATGTTCTATTTTAGCCAGTTCTTCTATTCAGCACCAAAACCCTCTCAACATGAAGTTCAACCCTCCTCACTCTGGCTTACCTCTTCCAATCACTCAACCTACCTTTCATCTTCCCTCTCTCTACACCCCCAAATCTAGGTCCCCTAACTGCCCTTTTCTCCCGATACTTACAGCCTGTCACCCATCAAGGTCTTGTCCATAGTCCATCTCTGGTGAGTGTAGCTCCTACCCCAACCTATGCCTCATTTCTCTTGTAGGGCCTGGCACTCAGGAAACCTGTGTTTGACTGTTTATTTTATAAGACCCTTTACAAGCACCTCTCCCTCTCCACCACAGCATTATACAAAAAAATTTCATAGTCAGTTACTTCATTTTTTTATTCAATGTTCATTTATTAAGTGTTCATACATGCTTGCAGATCATACAGCAGAATTGCAGTAACAGAATTGGACTGGAACATAATTGAGACAGGATAATCATTTCCATAAGCATAGTCAGAGGTGGCTAGGAAGCAACAGACACACCCATGAAGAGGTACAGGTGCACACTCCTACACATGCCCAGCAGCACCACCAACACAAGCCCCCTAAGGACAGCAAGGTGGACACCTTACCAGCCATCCTTTCAGAAAATACTTGCTCAGAGCCTCTTAAATAGCAAGTGCTGTTCTACAGTTCTAACTGGAGATGCTACAAGTAAAGCCAAAAAGTATATAAACAAGTAAGAGAGATTTGTAGAGACCAGGGCTGAGACAAAAAAAAAAAAAAAAAAAAAAAAAAAACAGGATAACTGGATGCAGAATGACAAGTCTTTAACCTCTATCCACTATTCTATCAATGATCAGCTTGGTATCCTACCCACAATCCAACACCCCAAGATTGCTTTTAGTTAATAAATGTCACAAAATAACAACTAAGTGGTATTCTGGCAAAGAGATGGAGACATCCCAAAGGGACTCCCCAATTTCACAGCTCTATGCTCAGAATCTGAGTTCATATTCTGCACAGACCTTTGTTTTTTCACTAGTTTGTGATTATCTTTACTGCCAGTTGTTTTCACAATGTTTCTCTCACTTTTGGATAATGTCATCTCCCAGGGCAAAAAAACATATGGAGAGAGCTAAACCTTTTGGAGACACTCTGTAATCCAGATTAAAATCAAGGGGAAAATTTCTGAGACTTGAGATTTTCAATTGGGCACACCTGAAAAAAAAAAATCAAATTTCTTTGTTTCCTCCAAAATAACTCTATTCCTGTCTTTTGTTAAAGGTTAAAGAAGAATACTACTGACAGGAGAGTTTGGAAATGAACCTTAAATTGCTAATTCTAGTCTTGATGTCATTTTTTAATGTTCTCATCTGAATTCAAGTTCAACATCATCCAATCTGAAGATGTTACCCAAGAGAAAGGGCCATTCCTTTTAGTGTGTGCACCTGTGTGTTTCCCACAGCTCCTAGACTAGCCAATCAGCTTCCTTTCATTACAGATCCAGCTGAGCTTGCCTTCATCCAGATGTTCTGTAGACTGCTAGCTCTGGAAAATCTGTGGCTAATGGACTGGGGGAAAGGGAGGGTGGAAGCTAAAACAAAGAACTGCTTTTCTAAGGCAGGAGCCTTTCCAGACAAAATTATGGCACCAAAATACCCTCTTCATCTTTTCTCCCTCATGGGCCAGCCTTCCCAGGCTCATCCAAGTTACTCAGGTGGAAATTACAGGAGAGGTCTCCTTTCTATGTATTCTTGTACTTCCAACATCTTATTCAATGCAAATCTCAGAGTACAAATGTTTATTAAATGGACACAAAGGAGATGGAGAAGGACAGAGGGGAGAGAGAGGGAAAGTTTTACAAGTATTTGAAAATGTTTGTTGAGAAAATTCCTTCCTTGCTGTCCCCACCCCCATCCTCAAGAATGTTTGCAAGCGCAGGGAATGTAGCTCAATGGGTAGAGTCCTTGTCTACTGGGTCCAAGTACTGGATGCAAAGAACATGTAAAAGACTTTACTATTAAGAGGTTGCCTGTCTCTTAACCAGTGTGTTCACAAACCAGCGACCCTGTCAATGCTCCTCTGCTCCCGATCCCTCTCAATCCTACCTCATCTCCCATCTCCAAAGCGTCTTCTTGCCAAAAGCCTTGAAGATTGTGGGGTGTGTTTCTAAGCCGTGCCCACATTCTTCATAAAGCAGATAAACTAGAAGTACTCGAGAAAATGCCAGAAGCCTTTTTTCCCTTTCTTGGGAAGGAAGGAGGAGCTAAGTAGTATAGGCTCTCCCCTCAGTTCTCAGTTGCCCACCCTTTGACTCTCACTGGCGTCCTATCCGGTCTCTATCCAGTGTTATAAGCAAGGCCTCCTCCAAAAGCCAAAAGCGAAGAAAAGAAACTAGAAACACTTTGGCATCACTATGCGTGGCTAGCAGAGGAATGCCTGACCCAAAGGGTGACCTGGGGCTGGGGAATGCTAGGGCCAGGAGGAGTAAGTGTCTCCAGGCAAGGAAGACTAGGCAGGCGGCGGGGCAAGCACTTTTCTTCAAGGCTAGTTCATCCACTAGCCGGGATGTACGACAGGAGAGCGACCCCGCGCCCTTCCAGTCCTACCTTCCCCGTCTCCCTAGCCTCCATGGCCAGGTTCTGGCGCCCGTGAAGTCTGCCTCCCTCCAGGCCTTTCCCGAGGCCGCCGCGACCTATTCGGGACTTGGGATCCCGGACCCGAGCCCGGGTTGGGTGGGCAAGCCGCAGCAAACTCCACTCTTTCACAGCGCGAGGAGACAGAGCTAGTGCCAGCGCTGGCAAAACTAGTGATGAGCTGGGACTGGTGTGGTACTAGCGGGCGCTTTCCGGCTGACGCCTCGCGGAGGTGGAGAAGCTCATGGGAGATGTAGTCCAGCCTGGAGAGTCTCCAGATTGGACCAGCTCCTCTTGCTGTGGGCAACTCCCACTAGCATACTGGTCAACAAGCCAACAAGATTAATTAAGGGCAATACTTTTTCCATATATTTCTAATTTTGTTTCTTAAAACAAACAAACAAACAAACAAAAAACAGGCAGCCATTGCAGTACATTGAGCTCCATAGAGACAGCTCCTGGGCAAACAAGAGCTAGCCTGGCGCTGGGCGACTCTGTGCCTCGTGGACGAAAAACAACGAAACATGGGCAAAGGAGATTCTAAGAAGCTGAGAGGCAAAATGTCCTCATACACATTCTTTGTACAAACTTTCCGGGAGGAACACAAGAAGAAGCACACGGATGCTGCTGTCAACTCCTCAGAGTTCTCCAAGAAGTGCTCAGAAAGATGGAAGACCATGTCTGGTAAAGAAAAGGAAAATTTTGAAGACATGGCAAAGACAGACAAGGCTCGTTATGAAAGAGAAATGAAAATCTACATTGTCCATTGGTGATACTGCAAAGAAACTGGGAGAGTTGTGGATCAACACTGCTGCAGATGCCAAGCAGCCCTGCGAAAAGAAGGCTGCCAAGCTGAAGAAGTAAGAAAAGGATATTGCTGCTTACAGAGCTAAAGGGAAACCTGATGCAGCGAATAAAGGGGGTGGTCAAGGCAGAAAAGAGCAAAGGAAAAAAAGGAAGAGGAAGATGATGAGTAGGACGAAGAGGATGAGGAAGAGGAGGGAGACGGAGATGAAGATGGTGATAATGAATAAGTTCGTTCTAGCACAGTTGTTGTTTTGTGTGTGTGTGTGTGTGTGTGTGTGTGTGTGTGTGTCTACAAAGCATTTAACCCCCTGTACACAACTCACTCCTTTAAAAAAAATTATGAAATGTAAGACTGTGTAAGACTTGTTTGTAAATTGTACAGTGTCTTTTTTGTGTAGTTAACACACTACCAAATGTGTCTTTAGATAGCCCTGCCATGGTGGCATTTTCAATAGCCACTAACCTTGCCTGATACAGTCTGGGGGGTTGTAAATTGTGGAAATTTAAAGCAGGTTCTTGTTGGTGAACAGCACAATTAGTTATATATGGGGATGGTAATTTTTTGTTTTGGTTTTTTTCATCTTCAAATGTCTCTGATGTAGCTTATATGAAGGTAATTGTTCTGTTGACTGAATACCACTCTGTAATTGCAAAAAAAAATTGCAGCTGTTTTGTTGGCATTCTGAATGCTTCTAAGTAAATACATTTTTTTTTATTATTTAAAGCACACACACGGGGGCTGGAGAGATGGCTCAGTGGTTAAAACACACACACACACACACACACACACACACACACACAGAGAGAGAGAGAGAGAGAGAGAGAGAGAGAGAGAGAGAGAGAGCATGTCACTAATAGCCCAACATGAACTCCTGATTCTCCTGCCTTAGCCTCTTGACTACAGGCTGGGACATCATACTAGATTTACAATGTGTGAGTGTGAGTGAGTGTGTGTGTGTGTGTGTGTGTGTGTGTGTGTGTATCTTACACATCAAATTTGTGTAGGTGCCTCCCTTTATCATTTTGAGACAGGGTCCTTCACTGAACCTGGAACTGACTTTGCAGCAACTGACCAGATATTCCCAGGATCCTACTCTCTCTACACCCTAAGTGCTGGAGTTATAGGTGATCACTGCCCAGGTGCTGGGGATGTAAAAGTGTGTCCACACAAAAACTTGTACAAAAATCTTCATAATAATTTTAAGCATAATAGAAAAGCAGCAGCACCAGGAATCTTTTTCAAGGGAAAGATAGATAGGTAGGCAAGCCATAAGGAATGTCCATCAATAGGCAGATGGTAGGCATTTTGTAGATGATCCATGAGATAGCCACTTTTTAGGAGTAAAAAGGAATGAACTAATGTTATATGCTATAATGTCAGTGAACCTCAGAATCATCAGATTAATTGAAAGAATCCAGGCATTTATGTGACATATCCAGAAAGGGCAATTCTATTGAGATGAAAAACAGTTTAGTACTGCCTGGGGCTAGAGGCAGGAAAATGTTTTAAAACTGGGTGGAGGTGATGTTTGTGCAAATCTATTTACTTTCTGATCAAGTCGTTAAGTTTTAAAGTTAAAATGAATGAATTTCTGGCTGGAAATGCCACCTTATACTGGTAATCCAAGTATTTAGGAGGCAGGTGGATTTTTGTTGAGTTTAAGGACAGCCTGGTTTATAGAGAATTCCAGGCCGGTCAGGTCTCACACAGTGAGACCATATCTTGAAAATCACAGCCCTGGAGAGATGGCTCAGCAGTTAAGAGCACTGACTGCTCTTCCAGAGGATCTGAGTTCCATTCCCAAAGTGGTAGCTCACAACTATCTGTAGTGGGATCTGATGCCCTCTTCTGGAATACATGCAGATAGAGCACTCATACATGTAAAATAAATAAATAAAATCTTTTTTTTTTTTTTTTTTAATCACATACAGGGGAAGTGGGGGGGAGAAAGAGATTCTTAGTATATAAATTACAGTTCAATAAAACTGTCATTAAGAGGAACCTTGAATATTCCAGAATTCTCTATGTTGTGATGGAATTACACTGGGTTGAGGGATGTGACCTGGGATACTCCTGTCTAACACAGGAGCTCTTCAGATTTCAGATCCAACCCTGTCCCACAACAGCTGAGGTGAGTGAGACAGTGATGGAGAGTGACTTATCCAAGCCACAGTGACTGTCATGATGATGCATGAAGGACCCACCAGAGCCACTGCATTCTAGGCTGAGCTCTCCCTCCAACCCCCTCTTGAAACCAGAAACAGAGACCACACACTGGTTTGTCAGCATCAGTTGCCTGAATCACTTTATTTGGAATATGCTAATGCCACAGGTCAGAGGCAGCTAAATGGGCACTGAAGGAAGTCGGGAGGGGCCACAGAATCCCATGGCTGCAAGAGAGATAGCAGTAGATGCATCCAGCAGAGCCTGTCAGTGTTTGGAGAAATCACCACCTGCAGACAGAATTTTGAGATGGGCTAGTGAGAGACAGCATGGTCAGGTGGGACAAAGATGGGGTAGGGCAGAGGACATGGGCTAGAGCTGAAGGAGGTGCAGGGTGGAGCCAGCTCTTCCATGCCCTCCCTCCTCTATGTCTCCCCCACCCTTGGCATATGGAATGACCTCAGTTAGTGCACATCAGGTATGCAACTTAACCAGGTACTTCACATGCATACCCTTCCAGAGTCCTCACAGCAAGTCTGTGGAGATGTCAGGCCTGTTTAAGGGATGGGGCTGAGTACAGACCTCAACAGAAGACTTGAACCAGGTACAATTTAAGCATGCAGATGAGGGGAAAAGCTGAGTAGACTGATAAAACCAAGGAAGAACGGGGCCATGTGCTGTGCATGTTCCTAAGGCCTCCTTAAGGGGAGGGATGGTCCTGTGGAGCTGCTCTCCCTCCCCAGCCAGACCCACCACCCTGGCAGGCACTGCACTGGCAGCTGTGAATCACTGGCAACACCACTGGCTCTGTGTGGCCATCAGGGCAATGAAGGTTCAGGATCCGCACGGGGCTGTCTGGATCCAGCCTGTAGCTACAGCAATCGCACTGGCTCTGCAAATAGGGTTCCTGGGGAAAAGAAACCGGCTGAGTGGGGAGGGAGCCAAATGGAGTTGCCCTCTCTTCCTTGGCCTTTCCCTTCCTGAACTCCCAAGGTAGCCTGAGGGTGGGGAGCATCACCACCACACCCCCTTCCTTAAGAAGTCCACTTTTTTCACTCCATCCCCAGCACATCTAAACACCCAGTGGATAAATGCATCAGGATAAGGATGTGGTTTCCACCCTAAGGGGCTTTAAGCCTAGATGGAAATGGGCCAGTCACACAGGAATCTGCTAAAAACCCTAAGTGCACAGTTGGGACCCTAAGCACTGTGGGGCTGCCCTTCCAGAGCAGACCCTTCTGCCCCACAGGACAGTGACTTAATTTTATCTATAATATTTGTATAGTTTATAACTCTTTCAGATTCACATAGTATCAAGTTCAAAAATGGCAAAGGTTATTATCTCTGAATTCTGTTCCTCTCTTTTCTTTCTCTACACCGTGTTCCATAAGTTCCAAATGTGTTTGGGGAAAGCATTCCCAGGAGGGGCAGGGGCACTCAAGACAGCAAGACAGCGCAGAACCGAAAGGCAACCTTTTGGGAACCCAAGAGAAAGCACCATTGTCTTCCAGCACTAGTGAACCCAGTTGGGTGGAAGCAAAAGAAAATGGCCTCAAGAACAGATGTGAGGTGCTGGGGGCCAGGAGCCAGGTCTCTGCTCAAAGGGAATGCCAGTGACCTGAGTTATAGCTCTCCAGGTTGGGAGCTAAGGGGGTTCACGAGGTGAAATAGGGTCCAAAGAGAGCAAGCGGAGAGAACTTGTTTCTGGGCTTGCTCTGGTGTAGACCTTACAGGGAAAGTCCAGGAGGACCTAACTGTAAAAAGCCAACTCTGGGCACTCTCCAAATGTGAGCCTCATGGGTCTAGCCTCAGCCACTTTCCCTCCGGGAACCTTTTTATGGGCATCTTGGCTTATTGGCTTAGAGGGACACAAGTGGTCTGAGAGGCATACTCTGGCATGTATGTATACCACCACCTTGAAGAAGGGCCCTGGCATTCTGTCAGCTCTGTGAGAATGGATTGTGTTCTCTGGGTTTTTCCCAGGTCCTCAGTTAGTGTCAAGCCCCCAGGGCACTGGCTGACTTGCCCGGTGGATCTGTAAGGCAGTCCCAGCTCACCTCAGTCATGACATGGGTGCTGGACCTGCAGTGTCCACTGCAGTAGCTCACTTCTACCTGATCCAGGTGGCAGGGACCCTTGGTGAGGTTCCTGTGTTCTGTGAGGTACTGGCAGGAGGCTGGCTCCTCCTCTGGGGCTGAGGGGGTAAAACCAAGACAGAGGAAGAAGCCATGACTGGGGGCTTGGGCAAAAGACACGTTAAGGCAGAGCCTGGGGTGGGGGAAGAACTCTGATCCCCATGCACGCGAGCCTGGGGGAGACGGGAACATTGTGAGGCAGAAAGGTCCAGACCAGAGAAAGGCATTGTACAGGTAACCATGCCCTACATACCCTGAGTGTCCCGTTGACAAACAGGACAACAGCTGCCTGGTTCCTGCACCATTACTTCACCCTGCAGAGAGCCGCCCATGATCCACTTAGGGGGACATCCCATCACCCCACACTGCCTGTCCAGAAACCCTAAGACCAGCCATGAAGGGAAGGCCCAAGGGTCTGTCAAGAAGGCTACAGGGCCACAGGGTACCTGAGCACAGGTGAGGCTTGGGCAGTGTCGAGTGCAGATGCTCTTCCCATGGAGGCAGTGACAGCTCTCACAAGCTTCCTGCCACTTAGATCCAGGCTGCAAGGGGAGAAAGCTCTGGTTGAGCTCTCCTGGATTTTCTTTTTTAAGACTTTATTTTTACTTTTAATCTCTCTCTCTCTCTCTCTCTCTCTCTCTCTCTCTCTCTGTGTGTGTGTGTGTGTGTGTGTGTCTGTATGTGTGTACTGGGAAGGAAACTCAAACCTCCATAAAAGCAGTACATGCCCTTACTATTTGAGTCATCTCTCCAGCCCTCTGGGCTTCCATGGTAACAACTTAATTCTAAATCCAGCCTGGGAGTTCCAGCCAACCTACTGGCCCAGGACTAGAGTCTGGCTGGGAAAACCCAATACACTAGAGCTGGAGGGTGGGGGGTGTTTCAAACCAGGGCCAGTTGGGTCCTGAGAGAGCAGAGCCTGTGCACTACTGGGAGTCTGGGGGTAGGGAGCCAAAAGAAGTACAGCTACAGATCAGTAGGTAGGGAACCCTTGGGCAAGAAAAGCAGCTGGTGTCTCACCAAGTGGGGACTCCCTCGGTGCCAACATTCACAGTGGTCTTTGGGAATACAGACACCTGTCTGGCTGCGGAAGTGCCCAGGCTGACACACACAACCTGGAGCCTGTGCCTCAGTGCAGTTGTTCCAAATCAGTGTCACGTTCATTTCTGGGCATGTCTTTTCGCAAGGTCCCAGCTCCCCTGGGGCCATGTGCTGCCAGATTTCCCCAGGAGGGCACCCTGCAGGAAGACAGTAGACCTGCTGTCCCTGTCAGCTCTGGATCCAGCCTAGATTGCCCTCCCTACTAGACACTCCTCAGGTACTTTACCTGTCCCCTTCCTATGCTGCCTCCTGGCTTCAGCAGCCATCCATCAGCTACACCTCTCCCTCTGATCCATTCCTCAAACACTGGCCCAGACAGATCTCTCTCCCTATAACTAATCCTGTCCACCTTACCTCTGCATTTCCGTACCCTGTCACATCCTAAGGGTATTGCCTCTTTGCCAGAAACTCAGAGACAGTCTCCTGTTTTTATTTGTTCTGAGGGCTGGCTCACTTTCAATCAGCAATCAGGCTGGGTGTTTTGGAACTTGCCAAGTCTGTGTCTGAATCCACAGATTCCAGTGTGTTAAAGGTGAGCAACTTTTCCACTCACCCCTCTGGACCTCAATTTCTTCATCAGCAAGAAGCATCCTTTCACTCCCTGGCCTCACTCATGTGGCCTGGCTCAGTGCATATCTACTGTATTGGTGAATACCACCATGAGTGGAAAAGACACACAGGGTGCTTGGGGATTGCAGAGTGGGGAATGTTGGGCCTCGGGGCAGAGAAGTGGTTCATGTGGACAAGAAGCAGGCAGTTTCTGAAGCAAGTAGCTTAGCCTAGGTTGTAGGCAGGGCCCTCTTCCCCTGAGCAGAGTCTTGGCTTTGGAGAGGCAAGGACAGCCATTTCTCACCCTGACAGTTGATGTGGGAGCAGATGAAGGCGCCACCTTGACAGGTGCTAAGAAGACAGAAGCAACTGCTCAGAGGCCCCCTGGCCCTCCTCCCCACCCCAATCTCAACAACCCTGCCCTCCACCTAGGCTCTGAACCCTCACCAGTTTGTGCAGTTCCAGGTAAGCACAGTCCCTGTGGGCAGCTCCTGGGCCTGTTCTTCCAAGGGTAGGGCGAGGCCCCAGGGCAGGGAATGCTGGGAGCACGGACAGGCAGCAGGGGGGACGCATGTGCCATTGTGTAGCAGCTGAGGTGGGTAGACTCAGTTACACTTGGGTCTAACCCCATGCCTTCCCAACTGTCCCCCCCCAAGCCAGAAGTCAGTGGTCTGGCTCACCTGTCCCCCAGGGCAGCTACAGCCAAGCTGGCATGGTTCTCCCACACAGATGCTACCAGGCTGCAAGTGGGAGCAGAGGCTCGGGCACAAAGTGGCGCAGGTACTAAGCACTTGCCCGGGTGGACACTCTGGGAAACACACACAATGACAGGGGCACTTGCAGGTTACAGACAGCCTCTTGTACCCACTGCGTGGGCCAGCAAAGATGAAAGGCTATGCCACTCCAGATCCAGGGCACTCACCAGGGCAGGCCTGCAGATTACACTCTTGCCATTGTTGCATGCTCAGGGCCTGGCATGGTGCACCCTCGGGAAGCTCCTCACAGCTCCTGTGGCGTACCATGGTGCCCCCACCACAGGCAGCTGAGCACTGGCTCCAGGCTGACCAAGGTCCTATGACTGGACACTCGAGCGATGGACACACCAGGGACCCATTGATGCATGTGCTGTGGACAGGGTGTCCACCAAAAGCTCAGGCCTCAAGTCTGGACAAACAGTTTTCATTCCCCAGAAGTGCCCATAGCCTTGACCTGGCCCATGTCACCCACTCAAAGTCCTTGGCTTGGTTTGGCAGAATGGCAGCATACCAGTTATGGCAATCCAGCTGAACCACCTGTGTGGGGGCCAGCTCCCATGAGCCATTGTCACTGGGAAGGCCACAGCGGCAAGAAGAGATGGGCACACAATGTCCATTCTGCATCAGCTGACCAGGGGGACATCGGCAGCCTGAGATAGGAAAGCAAGAGTCAGTGCTTTAAAAAGACTTTAAAGTAGGAGTGTGACTTATTAGGGAAGAGGAAGAGGGCTGGGGAAATCAGGGAGGATGAAGGAGAATATGGTGAAAGTATAATATACACGTGTATGAAAATGTGACCCATTATCTTATACAATTAATACTTGCTAATAAAAGGGTTATAAAATTCAGTGCTTTGGACAAGGTTTACATAATGGGTCCCTCCAACAGGCAGACTGGGTTCAAATCCTGGTCTCACCCTCTGGCCATGCCAGGGAGACACCTCTATGCTCCTCTACAGAGCAGTTTGTTTTGATAGGGTCATGTTACTGACCTAGACTGTCCTTGAATTCACAACGTATCCCAGGCTAGCCTTGAAGCAATCCTCATGCCTTAGGCTCTCAAATGCTGGGATTTACAAATGTTTATCACCACAGCCAGCAACACAGCAGGTTTTGATAGAGCCACTAGGAGAGACTCAAAGTGGTTGCTAAAAGTGACCCCAACAATGTACTTTCTTGACCTGTCATAATCGATAGTTTAAATTTCCCCTCTGCTATTCCTGTTTCTGTGGTGAAGACGGTTCCCCAGGCCAGCTACCTACCTGGGCTGCAGGCTCCCTGAAGACACTGAACACCATCCCAGAGGTCAGTACAACTGCGAGGGCACTGGTTGGCACAGTCAGGGGTAAACACGGTACCCAGGATTTCACAGCTCTCCCCTGGGATTCAGAAGTAAAAGTCTGTATTGGGGTACTCTTGCCTACCCCACCCCCAAGAAGACCCTCTCTTCTACCATTTATCACCAATTCCCCTCAGGGGCCATTTCCAACGTTCCAGTCTCTGCCTTCTTGGGATGCCTTGGTACTGGGTTACTGGTTACCTAGGCAAGGTCCCACGTTGCAGCTTTCTGTTTGAGCCCATGGTCCACGGCATTCTCCACCAGGGTTATCTCTTGCCTCTCTCCAGCGCAGCTTGAATCCGCCATTGCAGGGCACTTGGCAGGGGCTCCAAGGCCCCCAAGGACCCCATTGGCATGTGTCTACGGAGGGAAAAATAAAAAATGGAACTCAGTGCCTTGGCCATCAGCCTCAGGCATCTACCCCAGACCTTGTCTACTCCTTGCCTAGAAACATACCCTTGACCCTTCGGGTTCTTTTTTCTTTCGTAGCCCTAACTGCTACTGGGACTCTACCATGTCTCAAATCCAGCAGGCCCCAGAGACAATCAGAAGGCTTAGCAGACTGCTTCATTTCTGAAATGAACCTATGGCTACCCCACCCTACCCTGCCCCCATCTGAACAGCTCCTTGCTGCCAGTATGCCAGGCCCATTCTGCCCGCTAGCTGGTATCTCTCCTTCACCATTGCAGGCCCCAGGGTCAGGGCAGAGGCGTTGCTGGCTGAGGGGCACAGTGCAAAGTGCAGGGTCTCCTGCCCAGGGCCTCCCTGTCTCAGGGTCCAAGCAGAGGCGGTGCCGGTATTGCTCTGAAGCCAGTAAAGTGATGAAGGTATGCGATAGGCCTGATGTGTTCAGAGGCCAGTGCCCCTCCAGGGCAGACTTGGAGGCAGGGGCCAGGGCACTTAGGGGCAGGCAGGGCCCACAAGGTGACCACTCCGACCATCCAGTCAGAGGCAGAAGACCTATAAAGGCAAATGGTTTGTTCTGGTCTCAGGGACTTTTCAGCCCAGAGGATCATGAGTAAAAGGGGTAGTAAACAGGACTAAGAAAGGTGTCAGAGCCAGGTGGAGGTAGTGGTGCACGCCTTTAATCCCAGCCCTCAGGAAGCAGAGGCAGGTGGATTTCTGTGCATTTGAGGACAGCCTGGTCTACAGATCGAGTTCCAGGACAGGCTCCAAAGCTACAGAGAAACCCTGTCTCGAAAAACAAACAAACAAACAAACAAAAAGGTGTTGGGCAGAGTGGTGTAATATTTGTCTAGGACTGTCCTGGCTTTAGCAAGTCCCAAAGCACTCCAGCCTGGGCTAATATGGACAGTTCTCCCAAGGCCATGATTACCTTCACACCCTTGGCTGGAACACTGTAGCTCTCCATTCTGGCATTCACTGTGGGAGAAGCACATCAGGGGGAACTTGAGGGAACAGGAGTCTGCTGAGCCATGTATGGCTGGCTCATCAGTCCAAGAGCTGGGTGCTCTGGGGGCAGGATGAACAAGTTGTAAAGCTGAGTATCTTGGGGTCACTTGATTTCGGGTTATAATGGTCCAAACAGGTTCATCCTGACCTCTGTTTGCCCACTGCACTTCTGGCTTCTACCCTGTACCACCCCCCCTCACCACCTTCTCCTAATACTCACCATTCCTTACAGCCTAACTGCAGGTGGTCCCCAGGGGCCAGGGTCACCCCAGTTCCCTCTCCTGTGGTATGCCAGCAGTTACACTGCTCTGGGAGAATGCAGTCCCCAGCCTGCTCCAGCAGGCCCTGCACAGAAGGAAAAGTGAGGATAGTTTGGGACTGTGAAGAGACCATTGTCAGCTATGTGTCCTGCACCATGCTGGCTTCTAGCAGTGTACATGTGTGTTGCTGAGCCCGTGTGTGGGGTGGTGACAAAGTAGAGAGAGGTTCCCAGCATGGAAGTGGTGTGGTCCCTCTCCTATGAGTGTCCTGAAGAGGGGGGCCAGGGAGCTGGGCAGAGACTCCCAACTTCTGGGGCTCACCTTGGGACAGTAGCAGCCAGGCTGGCAAGGTGGCAAGTCCTGGCAGAGCTGATGGCTCAGATGTGTGGCACAGAGCCCGGCACAGGGGAAGCCACAAGACTGGAACTCAAAGGGAGGTGGGCAGCTGTCCTCTGAGGGAAAAGGAGGCATGCTGGTGGAGGGCCAGCCCATGGAGACCATGCCATCACAAAACAAAGCATAAGCTACACGGTCCCAGTGACGCCTTTAAGAGGTGATAACACAAGACTGTCCTGCTGCTGTCTGCCAAGAAAGACTAACGCTCCCAAACCTTCTACCTGGCTCCTGCTCAGCTCATGTTCCCCAGGAAGGATTGGGATGGCTGGGCCTCAAGATCCAAGAAGCTTCATGGAGTAGAGGTTGTGGGAGTCAGAATTATGGTGGGTGTTTCAGAGACTGGCAGGTTGGGCACAAAGGGACAAGATGAGGGACAGAGATACCCTGCCTCTGAGTCAGCTACAGGAGGCTAAAAACAGTGAGGCTAGCAGCTGTCAAACGGGAAATCGCAGAAAGACATTGTGAGGGGTGAAGTTAGTGCAAGAGTGACTGGGTGCCCCAGGGCAAGGGTTAGTGCAAACCCTGGGCACTTGCACTGTGGTCTTATGGGCAGTGGGTCTACATGAAGGTACCTGCCATTATCGCCATTCGGCTCATTGGTCGTTCATCCCTAGGCCTTACCTGAGCAGTTGCCAATGGTGCATGGCCGGAAGTGGCCATCCAGACCTGTGCAAGGGGCGCCCCCCACAGCCCGGCCAGGTGCTGGCTCCTGGTGTCGGTAACGCTGTTGCACCAGGACCTTACAGGAGCAGTGTGTCCAGCTGCTCCAGCCACCCCATATGCAGTCCTCTAGAGATGGGCAGGGATGTAAGCTGGTGGCTCTCAGAGCATCCCCTGTGCCCACACCCATCCTTGCCCTAGCTGGAAAAGGGCAAGAGGGAGCCATGGGTTCTGAAAGGCCCCAATGGGTGGATTCCCTCAAAGTAGGTGAAGAGAACACATGGCAAAAAGCTCTGAGAGCACAAAGCAAGATGTTGTAGGGTAGATATAGGGGAATTTCAGAGAGATAGTCTCGCAGAGGCAGACACTTACTCCCTGAGTTTTCTGAGGACAGAAAGCAGAGGAGCAACTCACCCTGGCAGGGCCCTGGGTAGCAGGCCCTAGTGTCCAGGTGTGAGAATGTGTCATTACACATGGAGTTCTCTTTGGTCAGTGAGCAGGGGCAGGATCCAGAGCGTGAGGCCAGGCCTGTGCCACAGCTGTGGGAACAGGGTCCCCACGGCCCCCAGGAGCAGGTCTCTAGCAGCTGTGGGCACCGCTGCTGCTCACAGTGCTGAGTCTGAGTATCAGATCCCTGGCAAGGTAGGCTCCCCTGCTGAGGAGCTGACACCATGCAGGATCGAGTGCGAACCTGGCTTCCACCTCCACAGGAGACAGAACAGTGGGTCCAGGAGGTCCACAGCGTCCAGCCCCCGGGCACTGTGGGAGGGCCCAGGTGAGGTTAGGGCAGCACATGGGGGTAGGGAAGACCCAGAGCTTAGGATGGCATCATCGTGACACAAAGGGTAGCATTGTGATTATTATGGGGAACACAGGACATAGAAGAGATGGCCTGGAAGACATTAGGCCAGCAAGGGGGTACTGAGGTGAGGAACAAGATGGAGTCCAAACCTGAACACTCAGTGTCTCTGCAGGTCACTCCCTCTGGGGTGCAGGAACTAGAAAAGAGCCTAGTTTCAGGGCTCTGCTGTCCAGCAGAACCCTGGGCACCCTTCCCTGGCCTGTGCTTACCACTGCTGGCACTCTCCCTGTAGCCAGCTGTCCCCCAGGGCACGAGGGTGGGCTTCATGTAGGCAGAGGGGTGGGCAGGGGGCCTCAGGGCAAGACTGGCTCTGTGACTGCTCCTTCTGACAGTCCAGGGCCCATGAGCCTGATGTGGAGGACCTGGGCAGGGCCAGGGCAGAGGAGGGGACAGATAGTTCATGGCTTCAAGGAGTGAGTCCAGAGAAAGCATGAAGGTGGCCAGGGAAAGGCCTAGGTGACCAGCATAAACTGGACCAGGACACAGGATGGAGAAAAGTCACGGATGAATGCAGGAAATACCCAGGAACTCTGTCAGAGGGAAGGCCATGCCACACAGGAGACCCTTGTCATCCAGCCCCATACCTAAAGCGACTCTGCTGCCCTCGAGGTCCACATGAGTGGCTGCAGGGACTCCAGGCAGACCAGTGGCTCCAGGCACAGTGGGCAGGAGGTGGGCAGACCTGAGCAGTGCATAAGAGTTGCCCAGCCTGACAGGAGCAGTTGTTGCAGGAATCTTGGTGCTGGCTCCCTGGGGCCCAGCTGCGGCCCTGGGCATCCATGCATTCACAGTGCTCAACTGGCACACAGCCACCATCCTGCTCCAGAAACCCTGTGGGAAGTCAGCAGGTTGGTGCTAGTATCTAGACCACACCTGCCTTCCTACTGAGCTTCCCAAGAAGCCAGAAGGATCTCTACCATGTACCTTGAGAGCAGCGACAGCCCAGCTGGCAGGCCTGGTCCTCCTGACACAGGAATCCCTCCCGCAGGTCTGAGCAGCTGTGGGGGCAGCGGTTGGCACAGCTCACTATCTCCATGCCTGCTGGGCAGCCTTCCTCTGGCAGGGGAGAAGGGAAGCCCAGAGTCAAGAACTCTGGGCTGCCCCAAGACCCTTCTCTCTTTCCTCTCAGTGGCTCTTAGAGGCTCTAGGGTCTACCCTTTCTCCTATATTGGTATGAACTGAAACATTTGGGACTTGGCAGAATCCTGGGGTTAGGTTAGTCTCAGTACGGAGAGAGCCCCTCTCTCCTCCAGTGAGTTCTCAGAACCTAGCTGGCAATCCAGTAAGTGTTCATGAAGCTAGATTAATCTGTCCATCTCAGAATTGAATATTCTCACCTAGTGGTTTACAGCCCTGGTCTGAAGTGTGAGCCAGTGTGCAGTGTAAATGGGGATCTCCTGACAGATGAGTCTGGAATAGTCAAGACCCTTAGCCCTGGGAGAATTAGAAGGGAGGGCTGAAGCTAAGAAAGGGAGAAGAAAGGGCTCAGTTATAGTTCTCCAGAAGCTAAGAGGGCAGACAAAGCTGAGAAGCTGTCCCAGGCATGAGCCACGTAGGTGGCAAATCTTTGATTTTGGCCATGGCCACAAAGGACCCAGATACACATAGGAGGTCCCTGCCAAGTATCCAGATCCAGCCATCCCTTCTCTACACATCTTGGGTTTTCCTAAGTAGCCAGCCAAGTAGCAGACGGTCTCCTACATCCCATGGGTATAATGGGAAAGAAGTTAGAGGTGAGTGGAGAGAGCTTTGCAGAATTAAGCTCAGTAAGCAGGAAGTGGCTGTCACTAATGCAGTACCACATGGCATGGGGTTGCAGGACCGGACATGGTGCTTCTCCCCAACACAGGATGCTCCCCCATTCTTGGGTGGTGGGCTTGAGCAGCTTCTGCTTCTCAGGGATCGGCCCCCTCCACAGCTGCGATCACACCAGGACCAGGGACTCCAACGGGACCAGCCCCCAGACACTGTTAAGAGAATAGTTCCATCAGGGTTTGGCTCCTGTAGAGGATCCCACATATCCCATTAGCCAGGAGAGACAGGCATGATCAGGAGATGCAAGGCATCAGAGTCTCTCAGGGTTAGGGTCTGGGAGGAGCCCGAAGCTACTCTGTCCCCAGCTCCCCTCACCTGGACAGGCACGCAGGTTGCAGAAGCGGCGCTCCTGGTGTGCAGTCAGGATATCAGAGCACCAGTGTCCACCAGGCCCAGGGGGATTATACGCTCGTAGGCGACGCTGCTGGCCTACCCCACAGCTGCGGGAGCAAGGCTCCCATGGGGCCCAAGACGTCCAGGAACAGTTCCCTGACCCACACCCAGGGCCAGGACACAGGGCCAGAGCTGCAGAGCAAAAAAGATCTGGAACCAGCAGAACCTGCCCCAGGCTCTCTCCTTCCTGCCCCAGTTCAAGTTCAGACTTCCTCACCCAGCATGTGGGACAGCAATCCCTGACTCATGGGGCTGCTGAGTGATGGGGAACAACCTAACAAAGAGTGCTTTGCCCCCCCCCACACACACACGCATGAGGACCAAGGGGCCTTCTAGAACTTGTCAGGGCTCAGGGCTGATAAAGCAAACAGAGGCCTAGAGTCAGACACTGATCTGAGATTGGATTAGATCTAACTGATGTCCAGGTGTGGGTTTAGGTAAACTGGTTGAAGGCTGTGATTAGGGCCCTAAGGGTGAGACTCAGAATCATACCTGTACATGAGGGTAGGTTGCAAGGACGCTCCTGTAAGTAGTCCCCCCCTGTACAGTTGCCCAAGCAGAGGCGTGTGCGCCTGCGCCATGTTGGATGAACAGGGTCTGTGCAGCTGTGGGAACAGGGAGACCACGGCGACCATGGACCCCAGCCTCCTGTGGGAAGGAGGGGAAGAAGAAAGTCAGCCAGGGCTCCAGCCCATCTGGGAAGTAGGGATGGGGAGGGAAGAAGTCCAAGGCTCACTCTTCCCAAAGAAAGGCCATACTGGAGAGGTGCCAGGAGACTTGGGCTACCTGCAAGGCTTATCACTGGCTCCACCGTGGACCTTGCAATCCCTGTGTAAAAGGAGACCCTGTTCAGAAGTGTTTTGGTGCCTGCAGTGTACCCTACCAGCACCACACATACAGTGTAGAGCATCTGGCAAGATCTCCAGAAGTGCTGATTGCAGGCCCAAACAGAAGTCTAGAACTATTGGGTGAAAGGAAGGAAAATCCAGAGATACCAGCAGAGATAAACAGGTACAGAAGAGGACGAAGGCAGGCTGAGCCACGCTTGGCTGAGCAGGTGTCTGCTTAGCTTCTGTTTCCCTTACCAGGACATTCTGGGCTGAAACAGTACTCTAGGTCCTGAAGGGGCCCATGGCAACTTAGTCCACCAGAGACAAGTGTGGGATGCACACACTGGCGAGTTCGGGTGCGGGTACCCAACCCACCACAGGAGTGGGAACACGGGCTCCATATGCTCCATGAACTAAAGCTGCCATGGGCCCTGAAGCATTCCTCCACAGAACAAGACAGCTTCCCATGAACACAGGAGCTGGAGAAAGCACAGGCATGAGGGGTGGTAAAGTGGCCAGGAGACACAACCAGGCAAAGGGAGAGGACACAGCCCAGGCTCCCTGATAACTCTAGAAGCCCTCCATTAGCCCCTCCACACTTGGGAGGTACCCTTACCAATTTCCGCAGACTGTTTGAAGCATCTGGCCTGGGTGGAGCTCATTTCCAGGTCCAAGGAGCTGGCCCTCATCTCCCAGAAGGGCTTGGTAGGTCCTGGGGGCAGTGCTGACTACCCCAAGCTCCTGCAGCAGCAAGGCTGTCAGCACACAGGGGCATTCCTGGATGGGTGGACAAGAAGACAGTGAAATCTCCCAGCAAGCTTCCTACTGGGTACCTGTGCAGAGCCTCCAACAAGACTTGGGAAAGAGACGGGGGACCTGGGCCTCAGGAGGCATTTCCCGGGACACACAGGATTGAGAATGAGGCTGTGAACCTGGGCTGAGAGTCAGTCATATTTCTACAGAACAAGCAAGAATTGGCAGAGACTCTAAGGACAGGACTTGGTGAGGCAGATTAGAGGAGTCTGGACGCCTCAGTGTGAGTCCTGACCTTCCTTCACAAGGCTCAGTGTCATCACATCTTAGTCAAGAGAACAGGACCAGGAAACATCTCAGGTTCTGGCTGGCAGAGGCCACACAATTAGAAATGGAACCCCAAATATCTGGTGGGCTCAACAGAGCAGACGGAGTACCAGCCTGCCATCTGCCTCACAGCTGGAGACAGGGATGTGGGGCCAGGCAGAATGAGGGTGTGGGGGTCCTTTCCCCACAAAGGCAAGGCTAAGAAGAGAAACACAATGGTACAGCTCCTGAGATGTAGGATGGGGCTACTTGGCTGTGTGCCAAGGGTAGCTATGAGGACCCACAGGAAACTGCCCTTTACTGCTAGGAAGACTGAGTACTATACAGCCAGAGGAGCGCAGAGCAGCATGCAATCATGGTGGCCTCAAAAGTCTTGTAGGTGTCCTTGAACTGGGAGATCAGCTGGTAATGAATACAAGCTCAGATGCTGTCCCCAGAGAGCAGGTGACCCCTGGGAAGCTGCCTCACCTCCACTTCCCTTGCTGGGCCCCTAATTTGTCACCCTCCCAGGTCTGAGTGCTACTTAAGGTCACATGACAAAGGGGGCTGTCTAAGAGGCCAAACTCCTTGGGGCCAATGAGCTGTCAGACGCCAGGGACAGAGGGTGTAGCTTCAGGCTCCTGCCCAGCTGAGTTCTCACCTGCACACAGGCCAACTGATGCTGGAAGGTGCCCTCAGGACAGTGGCAACCCTCCTCACAGCTCTCAGAGAAGCAAGCCACCTGTTCCGTGATGTGAGCGCAAGAGAAGGGGCACCCCTCACTGGGCTGGCATGCACGGTATAGTCGGCCCACTGGGCAGCCTGTCTCTGAGACAACACTGGAATCAGTGTCCAATGTCCTCGCTGCCTACCTCTGTGCCCACTTCTGTGGCCTGAAAGTCACAGTGTCCAGCCCCTTGGCAGTGCCCCTTCCCCAAAGCTTCCCCTTAATCTGGCTGTTTCCACCTTTACTTGTTCATCACTAGCAAGGGATGAGTATGACGGCGGGCGGGGGCAGAGGGCATGGGGTGAGGGTGGGGGCAGAAAGGGAGGCATCTACAGACTCTCAGAGTCAGGATCAAGGGACCTGATAGGGCTCTAGACTAAGGGATTATTGGGCAGAGGTTGGCTGTGCTCACCTCTGCAGACCTGGGTATGACAAATTCGGCTCTGTCGACCTAGTCCAGGGCAGGGGGGTCGGGCACAGTGCCTAGAGCGTAGCTGCTCCCCTCCCCCACAGGAGACACTGCATTTCTCCCAGGGCCCCCAGGAGCTCCACATCCCAGGACCAGGGCAGCTGGGCACCTCATGGCACTGCAGGATGCCTGCCTTACAGGTGCTGCGGACAGGGAAAGGGGTTTCAGTTTCACACCTGGTCCATGTCCCCCAGGGCACCATTGCCCAGTTCCACAGCTCATCCCCCATCTGCTTACCAGCTGTCACAGGGTCCAGTTACCACCTCTCCAGGTTCCAGGCTCTCCCAGGAGCTGAGTGTGAACCCTACTGACCGGCTCTGGTTCTCAGGGATCCCTGAAGGCCACAAAATAAGGATGGAGACTAGATAGCACAGCAATTCACCTCTCCCCACATCCTGCACTCATCCCAATAGCACCCAGGTCCTGGAGGAAGAAGATGGAAGCTGCACTAGCCCAGGATGTGGGAAGTGCAGGGCTTCCAATTCCCAACCTATAGCCTGGGGCTGGGCCCCACAGATAGAGATGCAGAACCAGACAGAGTAGTACCCAGGGGGAGGGGATGGCAAGGTTAAGTGCAAGGGGGATACTACTGACCCATGGCTCTAGGCTGGAAGTGGCAGTGACAGTCAGCTGGGAGCACACAAAGTCCATCTTGGGAGAGCTGGCCTGGAGGACACCCGCAGCCAGACTGACAGCCCGCTGAGCCTGGTAGGCATACACTGCCAAGGGACAGGTCCTGGCAAGAGCGAGGACAGGACTGCCCACAGGGTAAGAGGTGCTGCCCCCCTCCACAGTCTAGGAAGAAAGTGAGAGAGTTAGTGTTAAGGAGCTACCCCAAGGGGTAAGAGCCTCTTGTTATACCCACATTGGTTGTGACCTGACACCTCACCCAGAAGAATGGGCAAGGAGCTTGAGGCTGCTCTTTGAACAGTTCTATGTGCAAACACGGTAGCCAGCACCAGCATTCCTCTAGGACTCTCCCTTGCCTCACCCCCAAAGCCTTCACCTGTGCACAGCGTGGAACTGTCTCGACATGGGCGACTCTGCTGGTGGCCCCCAGGGCAAGGCCTGCCTCCGTCAGAGGCAGGAGGATGACTGCACCTCCGGCTCCGAAGGGACTGTCCCAGGCATGCATCACAGGGAGACCATGGCCCCCAAAGACCCCAGGCTCCATCCCCTGCACCAAGGGGACAGAATCATCTGTTTTGGGAGGCCTTAAGTCATCAGGGTCAGCACATGTATTTGGGGCTTCTGGGCAGGGGCACAGGCCTCATGGGGATGTCACACCTGGGCATGCAGTGGAGTTAGGGCAGGCTTCTCTTTGCTGTTGCGTCCCTGTCTCCCCTGCCTCCTCAGGGCATGGAGCTCCCCCATGCTGGGGAGCTGGGCAGACACAGGCCCTGGAGCGGCTCCTTGTTTGGCCCCTGCAGGGCTGGGAGCACGCTGTCCACTCTGACCATAGGCACCAGCCTCCAGGCACTGTGAAGGGTAGGGTAGGCGCTGAAAGTAGCTGATGTAATCCTGAGACCACTCTCCTTACACCTCTACCCCTCCCCCAACCCTGTACATCAGCACATACCTTGGCAGGGCAGGTGTGTGCAGTTAAGCCTTCCCTCTATGCAGGTGCTGGGTGGGAGCAGAGCAAGGGGAAACGATGGCAGTTCAGAATGACTTATGTCCCACAAACTCATCTGCCTGCCTTTTCCTTCCTCTCCATCTTTGCAATTTCACGGTATAGTCTATGCCCTTTTTCCTCCTCTCATATGCTTCAGAAGCCTGTCTGTCCCATCAGCTAGCCTTCTTGGATAGCACAGCTGGTGTGCTGTACTGAGGAGTGACTGTAGATAACCTGCTGGTAAGTGAGGGCAGGGCAGGCAATGGGAACAAACACCCTCTCTGTTGCTTGTCCAGCCCAACTTCTCCCCTCTCAGGAATAAATACTCAGCCCTCAGCAGACACATGGAGCTGGCTGCCTCAGTTTCTCCTCTGGTTAGACAGGTGTCATGGGGCCCGTTGTGTCTCCTCCAGGGCTATCTAGTGTACTGCTGCCTGGACCCCTAGAGCTTAGATGCACAGGCACCCAGGCAAGCTTCTCTTGTCAGCATGCTGCCTCCTGCCCCAGCAATACAGCATGGCCCCTCACCAGTGGTTACAGCCATCAGGCCTTGTCAGCTGAGCGCCTGGATGGTGGTGCTTCCCCGTCAGCAGGTCCAAGCAGCTGCACTGACTGGGTGGCACGCAGATGGTTCCATCAGCACTCAGTACCTTGCCCAGAGGACAGTAGCAGCCCGGCTGGCAGTGCCACACACAGTGCTGGGGAGGCACAGAGTTTAGTCATCAGGACACAGGGCCTGACGTAGGGAATTAGGAGCCCAGAACAAGCTGGACGGGTAGAGGGTGGGTGTGGTGGTTAATCTGGATTTCTAACTTGATTGGATTTAGAATCACTGTGGAAACAAAAAGACACACCCTAAATGTGAGTGGTAGCAGTGGGGTACTGGGCTGAGTAAGACAACAGCAGCCAGCAGCCTGGGCACTCTGCTTCCTGACTGTGGAGGACCTGCTGCCTTGGGCTCTTGCCTCTATGACTTCCCCAAAGCAATGGGCTTCCCCTTCTAACCATGAACCCGAAAAAGTCCTTCCTTTCTCAAAAATGCTTTTGTCAGGGTATTTTATCTCTGCAAAGACAAGGAGCACCCTGAGAATGAAGGGTGCCCAGAGGGAGAGAAAAGTGTGAGCTTACAATTACTTTCTCTTTAAAGACCCATAAAGGGCAAGAAGGGAACCAGCACACCACTGAGTTCTGGCCACTGAGAAGGGGAGGGTGGGGAGCAGGCCTACAGATTAACCCCTCAACTCCCAAGGCATGTATCTGGAAGCTGGGGCCCTGCAAATGTGAAGCCCCAATTTTGGGGGAGGCTTGCACTGATGTTCTGGGAATTGAGGCATGCCCAGATCTCCTTAGCACTCAGGGAGCAGCTGCCTCAGGAAGCTGGCTGGGAAGGGAGGCTGTGTGGTCAACATTTGGAGACAGGCCTTGTCTATGATGACCTGCAGTGGCTGTGCCACTCTAGGAGAATTCTCTTGCACTCCTTTCTCCTCCCTTGCCTGTCTGAAGCCATCCCTGGCCTCCTGCTATCGATGATTCTCCATACTTAGGCCTCAAAGCATCACCTTATCATCTTCATCTTCAGAGCTATTATTGTGTCCATCTTTAATCCATGTCTGTCTTCCTCCCCCACAGAATGTGGGATCATGAATTCAGAGACCCTGACTGTGCTTGCCTCCATCTGTGTCTACAGTGTCTGCTTGGTGCTTGGAAAACACACGTGCGTGCGGGAGCGCGTGCGCACGCACACACACACACACACACACACACACACACACACACAAGCTCTGGAAGCCAAAATGTTTATGGCACTTAAGCTGATACAGTGGGATGACTTCTCCCTCCCACATGTTTGTGCTGTGTTTGCAATAGCATTTTAATTTAGAAACATTGGCTGTGCTGATGCCAAGGGCTGCTGGATAAGGCTGGCTCCCCTCACCAAGAGGGAGCAAGCTTGCACTGCTGTAAACTAAAACCCAGTGCCTCAGCCATCCCCATTAGGCTTTCTACCCAGCACCAGGCAAGGGAGCCTAGACTTACCACAAGGTCATCACAGGAGCGGGGACAGGGAGGGCCACAGGGGCTGTACTCTGCCCCTTCAATCATGCTGCAGTTGGTCACTGGAGGACAGGATGGGATGGGGTAGGCTGGAGCTGCTGGCCTGCCTTCTACAACTGCTTCTCAGCTTCTTATTCTTTGCTCCTGAGCCCACCCCATCCTCAGCAGATACCTGGGCATGGTTGACCCTGGCAGGCCTCCCCCTGGGCCTGAGGTCCTTCACAGAAATCCCCTAGGCCCTGGGGTGGTGGCTGGTCACAGGCTCGGGTCCGGCTCCGCAGGCCTCCTCCACAGCTCCGACTACAACCAGACCAGGGTCCCCAAGGACTCCAGCTCCCTGCTTCTGAGGGGAAAGCAGAGGAAGGAGTGGGAAAAGGTTTGAAGGTACTGGAGATAGCTGGTGCAAGGATGAGGTGGTACCCCAGAGATGGCCCCACTCAGAGCTTCAGGGCAAACATCAGTTTAAAGGGACACTTACGGTCACATCCTGGCAGGAGGCAAGGCTCTTCCTCAGCCTCAGAGCCTGGGCAGAAGTGTGTGGGGGCCAATGTGGGCAGGAGAGCCAGGTTGAAGGGTACCATACTGGGGGGCCTGGCACAGAAGCGGTGCCGGTGGCGTCGGGCAGGGCCGCAGGAGGCTGAACACATACTCCACGGGGTCCAGGGTGACCATGCAGGTTGGCCTTGGGGTGTACGGAGGAGAGAGAATGTGAGAAAAGAATGATCCAGTGTGGGAAGGCACCATAACCCCTTCTGCTTCAGCTCTTCTGAGGCCTGTCTCCTACCCCAGTGCAGACCATGGCTGCTGGGATGGGAAACAAGAGCATATGAGGAGTGAGAACCCTTTCTTACCTTCCTCACAAGGCCAGGAGCTGCAGTTGGTAATGAGCCCAGAGATACAGGAGCTGCAGGGAAAAAACAGAGGCTGGGATGCTCCCCAGGGCTACATGGTACCCACAGAGCCTTTGCTCAAACTCTGGTCCCCAGGACCTGCAAACATGACCATATTTGAAGATAGGATCCTTCCAGAGGTAACCAAGTTAGCAAGGTGATTTGTGTTCTTATAAGAAAGGGGCATTTGGATGCTGACACACACAGGTGGAAGATGATAGAAAGAGGAGAAGATAACCATCCACAAGCTAGAAAATGCCCAGTTGGTGCCAAAAAGGAGAGTTGGGACAAATGCTCCCTCAGTGCCTCAGAAACACCAGATTTGCCAACACCTTGATCTAGGACATACTGGCCATCAATTGTTGTTTTTCAAGGCCCCTACCTCCAGAACATGTGTGTGCTAGTGTGCATGTGTATGCATGTGTGTGTATGTGCATGTATTTGTGTAATGTGTGTAGGTATGAGCATAGATATAATATACTTTGTTATAACAATTATAAAAATTAACACAAGTTGGAAGAAAGAAGACAGGTGATTTTTTTTCATTACTAGGGATTTAATTCAGGGTCTTGCCAGGCAAACCTTCTACCACTAAGTATGTTCCCAGCCCCTGAAAGAAAACAGACAAGGATGGGTGGCTGGAGGGATGCAGATATAGATAGCAGGGCAGGTTGGTTGTGGCCAGGAGGCGGGGGAGGTGGTAGGCATCTCTTTGGCTAACTGCAGTCAATATGTCCTGGGGCTGAGGAAAGATACTGTACAATTGGTTCCCAGAAGAGTCACTGAAGAACGGGGTGAGAGGAGGTAGGAAGGGCTTACCAATTCTCACATGGATGAACCACTGCACTACCTGGGGGATGAAGGCGCCCCCTGTGGATGCAGGGGCAGTCCTGAGCAGGCACACACACATTGTTCTAGAATAGAAAACCCTTCATCAGCCTGCTCCAGCTTGCTCCAGTCAAAGCCAACCCTCAATTTCCTAGTCCATCTTAAGGGCTACCCAGAAGACTTCCACAGGGCTCTACCCAGGTCCCTCTCTCATTGGGCAAAAGCAGACCCTTATCTGTGGGTCATAGGGACATGAACTCTCCTTCAGGAAGAAAAAGACCCACTTCCACTGCAAGGCACTAGCCTGAATCGTTAAATGAATCAACTGTGTGAGATATATACTTTTCATATGAATATTGTGACTTATACAGCAGTGTAACACCCTCCAGCCTCACTCCTGCAACCAATTTCGTTAAGGAATGTAGCTGTGACTCTAGTCAGAACCAGTAGGTAACCTGAATATGTCTTACTGTCCACTCCACTAGCCTGATTACCCAGTCTAAGATGAGCACATAGTAGGTGCTCAGCACGTAGCTGGTGATGGATAAACAAGAGGACATGCATTTGAAGGAGTCAAATGTATAAAACCCTTTTGACTCACCACCACTTTCATAAGCAAGAGAACAGATACTGAGGTGTCTTTAACTCAGCAGTCTTTGTCTCCATCCCAAACCTTTGGCTCTGTCCTTGCCCAGGCCCCTGGCTATCTCTTTCCTACCAAACCAAAAGCAACAAGGCAGCCCCAACTGTGTCCAGGCAGCAGGCATACTCACTAGCAGGAACATTCCAGAAAGGCAGTAGCAGCCAGGTTGGCAAGTCTGATTGGTCTTTCTGTGGGTGCTGAGATGGGCACAGGAGGCTGGGCCCTGATCACAGTCGAGCCATTGTTGGCCCTTAGGACACACACCTGGCACTGGTCCTGTAGAGACATGTGACAGCGGACAGTGCCTACCCACTCAGCTTTCCCCTACCAGGGGGAAGCCATCAGTTCTGGGTATTGCCCAGGTTGCCATGGAGGCTGTTTTAAGGGACAGGGCTGCAAGAGCAGGGTGTGACAAGTGTCCTGCCTTGGTGGGAATGAGAACTAGAGTGTCCCCAAGGTATCCCTCACCTGCACAGGGCTGCAGGCTGCAGGTAGAGAACTCAATGGGGCTATAGGGACCACTGCCTTGAGTGCGGTTTCTGTAGCCACCACCACAGGGCACTGAGCACGAACTCCAAGAACTCCACTCTGCACCAGGGCCTATGGGTAGCAACCAGGTCACTAAAGATCTCACCTTCCATAACCAGCACACCCCTTCCCCCACCTATATCCCAAAACACCCCTTTCTTCTCTTCACCTACAGAATCATCTCCACCTTAGGAGACATGGCGCCTTCACAGAGGAAGTGGGCCGTCCTCTAAGAAGGGTCTCTCTTGGGGACCAGCTCTTTGTGGCATTCCTTAGGAAAGTCCCTTATATCTCTCATGGGGTCCTGCGGGGTACCTTGGTCTCTCTCTAGAAGGTTCTTTAATTGGGTCTTTGGCTCTAGGTCCCCATTCTTACCTTGGCATGGCCTCAAACTACAGAATTCAGCATCTATGTTGGGACCTTGGCACTCGGCACCCCCAAAGGCAGCTGGTGGTGCAGTGCCTGCTCTCAAGCGCCGTCGAATGCCCACATTACAGCTTTGGCTGCAAAGACTCCATGGGGTCCAGGAGCTCCAGCCACAGGCAACTGCGGGGGAGGGGGACAGATGTCTGGAACCAGGTCAAGTTGTCCTGGACCCTGACTTTCTTGGGATACCATCAGCACTCCCAGGAGGTTATCTCCAAAGCCCAAGGTCACCCATAGCCTCTGAGCACCAACCACCATGTGGACGGAGTACCTGGACAGAGCTCTGTGGTGCACACCATTTCTCCAGAGATACAGGTACTGCCAAGGGAAGGTCTAATGAGCCCCAGTCCAGCACTGGGTCGCTACTTCAAAGGACAGGGAGCCAGGCCAGCACACACAGCATGACGTGACCTCCCTCCCAAGCCCACCCTCACTGGGCTCCGTGACCCCCAGGTGAGATGCTGTTCCTTTGCCACAGTTTTATCAACAGATAGCTTTTGTAATTTCATGTGCTCGTATTAAACAACATCTGTACATGACTTTAAGTGACAGGGCTAGATAAAGGCCATTTAGGAAGAGCTAGAATTCTAGAAGTAGGTATATTCTGTGCCTTTCCATTTTTCTCCAATACATGTTTATTGGTCAAACACTGGAGATTCTAGAAAAATAATCTGTCAGAGGTATCATGAGAAAGGGGGGTGGGACACTAAAGAAGGGAACTGGGGGAGGCATCAGGAGATAAAAAGGAAGAGAAAAATGGAGAATGAAGAAATCTGAGGAAAGGGAAATGGGTGGGGGGGGGGGCAGAGGTATTTTAGAGCGCCCTCTGCTGGCAAAACCTGGTGTCAGCTTGGAGAATTGGCTACTCCCAAGAGTGGAGTCCAAGGGATCCCTTGTAGAGAATTACATTCAGGAAGGAGAAAAACCCTTTAGGAAGGGCTCATGAGGCCCCTAGCTGAGGAGCTATGACAACTGATGGGAGCTGGAAGATGGATATTGCCCTTGGTGTTTGGACCATTCTCCAGTGGATGGTTCCATATCAGTGAAATCTAGACAACAACATTAAGTTGGAAGGGGTTAGGGTTGATCTAGATGAAGTTAGAGAAAGGAGTGAAGATGAATAGGATAAAAATACATTATATGCATGTGTGAATTTGTCAAGGAATGAAAAAATATTTTTAAAAAGAAGCCTCTCCCCAGCCTATAGTTCCATTCTGCATAGCACCCCCACCTCTCTGAAACCCGTCTTCCCACAGTCAGAAGGGGTGAATATTCCTTGTAGACACCTGTGTTGTAGCCAGGCAGTGACACATTTGTTGCAGTTGTCTCAGGAGCCATGCCTGGCATGTGTGTCAGCACATGTACCCTTTGCCTAACACCTCCCCCCCCGCAAGGAATAAATATCCGTGTGGGTCCATTCCTGCCCATCTCGGGGCCATAGCTCCTCCCCTTGTCTCCCCCATCATCCACTGGCAACCTACCAGTTGTTGCAGTCCAGACGAGCTACTGCTCCTGGTTCATAGAGCTGCCCGTGCAGCTGGCAGGGGCACTGACTGCGGGGCAGGCAGCTAGCATTGTGCAGGAAGAGGCCAGGGGGGCAGTTGCAGCTAGGGGCACAGGAGCCAATGCACTCCACTCCAGGGTCCTGTGCCAGGCACAGCCGAGGACAGGAACCCCCCTCCTTGTGACACTGGTCTGTTGAGCGGAACACCATGTTCTCTGGGCACTGGGCTAGATGGGAAGACAAAAAGGACTGAGTCAGGAAAGGAGAGAATGGATGCTGACAAGGAGGAAAGCTTGGATGCAGTGATTGACAAGGAGAAGTGAAGAAGCCCCTCCCCTCCAGTCATCTCCCATTCCCTCCCCTTGCTCCATAGCTTGGCTTCCCTGGATATGAATGCTCTTGAGAACAAGAAGACACCAGTGTCTGGTTCAGGAGGAATGCCCAACAGATCAAGAAGTAAGGAAATAGACTCCTCTGGGCTGACACTGCTTCCCCTGATTTTGCCTATGAGTGGCTTGGCCTCCAAGGTCACATGTCCTTGCCAGGGACAAGTAAAGTGCCTGGCCCAGTATCTGGCTCCCAGCAAGTGGGAGGAGGAGAGGACTTGGAGAGATGCTGGAAATACTGAAGGCTCCCTAGCTGTAGGTGTGGCCTGTTCTGAAGCCAGAGGCCAGCTAAGCAAGAAGACTGGGAATGTCTATGCACAGGGTGGCCGAGGCCACCTGGAGAGTGTGGAGGGGTCTGGCACCTGTGCAGGGATGCATGTTGCAGTCTCTGGTCTGAGTGTGGGGTCCTGGGCACACAAGGTTCCCAGGAGCCAAGTTAGAGCAGCTGCGCCCACGACTCTGGATGCCACCATTACAGGAGGCTGAGCAGGTGGACCAGGAGGCCCATGGACCCCAGGCACTTGGCACTGTCAGGAAGAACAGAGGCCATGGTCATGGTGGCAAGATAAGGGCGGGGGGGCTTAGGGCAAACCCCAATAATGTTAACAATGTGTTGGTTTTTTAGGGAGACTTAGGGTGGGGTGGTGGCTTAAGGGTGTCCACCAGGTTTGTTCCTTTCCCTCCTTCCTGGGAGTGGGACCTGGTTGAGGGTTCATTCTCTTTTGTTCATTTTTCCATGGGTTCCCAGCCACACCAGGAAGATAGGGCTATACCTGAGCACACAGAGGGGCTGCAGGGCTCCTCCTGAGTGGCCTCTCCAGGGCAGAACATGTCCCTGGAGCTGTGGCACAGCCGAGTACGCTGCCGCCACCCAGGGTCCCCCCCAGGAACAAGGCAGCTCTGGGAGCAGGAGGACCAGGGAGTCCATGGTGTCCAACCTGGTATCTCTGGAAGGAAAGACAGTACAAGCCTATTGTATGGAGGCTCTGGCCAGGCTGGCAAAGGTTGGGAGGCAGGTCAGGTCTGAAAAACTAAGAGGCCATGAAGGGTAAGGGCTGCTCCTCTGATTCACTCTATCCTGCAGCTCTATTTCTCACCTTTACCTAAGGCAGAGCCTTTCATGAACCTGGCCAAGCTCATGCTCATGCTTGCTCATGGTTCAGCCAATAGCCTACCTATCCCCACAGTGCAACTCTTCTAGACTTTTCCATGTGGAAAACCTCAGTTTCCTGTGAGCTGAGATCACCATTCTCTTCCCGCTGACTCCAGGACCCACTCCTCAGCCTCCTCCTCTCATTCTCTGCCACCCATCGCTCATTCCGCCTCACACACCAACAGTGATTGGCTTGCACTGCAGTGACATCCCTTGACACCACATAACCTGAGGCAAAGGGACAAACAGGAGCCTTATCTTGCCTCTAAGTGTTCCTGTCTGTCCCTGTCACCCGAAGCACACAGCCAGGCCAGAACCCTCATTCTTCCTGCCTCTGCAGACACCTGTCCCACCTAAGCCAGCCTGCCTAGGTGCTCAGGATGTGTGCATGAGAGCCTCTCTCCCAAAACCACTAACCTAAACTGGTTCCAGGACCATAACTTGGATGTGAGGCCACGACTCACACTTCCTCTTTCTGGCTACCCCTCACCTTCCATGGTGCCCACTGCAGTTTCTGTTGCCATTGGGATCCAGGCAGGAGAAGGGACAAGGGGATACCAGCTTCCTCTGGCACAGCTTCATTCACTACCCATCCAAGGTACCAGGCAGACAGGGAATTGGGAAGAGGAAGGCGGTCCCCTGCCATACAGTACCTGTTCCACATCCGGTGTAGCAGACAGGGAATTGGGAAGAGGAAGGCGGTCCCCTGCCATAAAGTACCTGTTCCACATCCTGTGTAGCAGGCCTGCAGTTCCTGCCCGTCACCTTCACATGGGGCACCTCCAAAGGCCGCAGGAGGGTTGGAGGGGGACCTGAGGAGAGACTTGCCTAGGCATCTGCCTTCCTCTTTCACCACCACGCTGGTCTTCTTTACCCTTCTATCAAATCCCACTGCCCTCCCCACCAGGGTGGCCTGTCCCGATCCTTTCTCCACATCTCTCCCACCCTTGCCCCACCTCCACACCTGAACCTGGCCCTCACTCCAGAGCCACAGGAGTGATCACAAGGTGTCCAGGGGGACCAGGAAGACCAGCCACAGGGCTGGGAGCAGCCTCCTGGCTCACATAGCAGTACCCCTTTCTCGCATATGCTGTAGATAAGAGTAGAGCATCCATCAGCTATAGCAGGCTCTGGCCATAATCCTCCCTCCATTCAATACTGCCCTTCAATCAGCCCTCTCCCCGCAAGACCCAGCACCGTCACTCACCCCAGCACTTGCCCCTGAACTAGCACCACCCCTCAGCCCAGGGTCTTCACCATTGACTGCAGTTGTCCAGCAGGAAGGCCAATCCAGGCTCTCTCAGGTCTTGGCCCACCAGGCAGGGACATTCAGAGAGGGGCATGCAGCGAGAGTCCTGGAGGAAAAGCCCAGGAGGGCAGCGGCATCCTGGATGCAAGGAGAGGAAGTCACTTAGGGAGAGCTCTGGCCTTGGGTGGGCGACTCTTACTTGCACACTCCGGCTATTCCTCACCTTCCATACAGTAACCATTGCAGCTTCTGTTGGCCTCAGGGTCCAGGCAGGAGGGTGGACATGGGGGAACGAGCCCCTTCTGGCACAGCTCAGCATTCACGTGTACACGACCTGGCTCACAGTCTCAGGAGAGAAGAGTATAAGCAGGGCAGGCACTAGAAGGCCCAGAGACAAACCCTGGGGCTCCACTGTTGGAGGCCCCTCCAGGGGACCTCTCTTTACCTGTGTCACCCGGGCAAAGCTGCAAGCTGCAGGGTGCCATCTCATGAGAAGGCCCAGGGCAAGGAGCACCACCATTCTTGGGTGGGGGGTCCACACAGCTCCTCTGGCGACTCTGGTGGCCACCTCCACAGGAGACACTGCAGGGTTCCCATGGCCCCCACTCTGCCCATGCCCCAGCCACTGTAGAGGAAGAAGGGGGTCCACTAGAAAGACTCCAAGGGGACAGGCTATGTAGAGAGGGGATGGCCAAGCCAGGGCGCATCGCCCAGCCACTTGGGGGCCAGTGGCCTGGCAGACCAGGGCAGCACCCTAGTGTTCTCCCACTCTCTGTATTCTGGAAGGGCTGCCCAGAGGTGAGAGAACCAGGAAAAAGTCACCCAATGACTCCAAGCACAGAGTTCCAGCAACTGGCAAGGTTACAATGGCAGAACGCTGAAGTGGGGGTACATCTCATAGCAATGAGACAAGGAAGCTATCAATATCAAAGCCAGGGATGGGAATCTGATGTAGGATCTGGGGGAACCTGGTGTGTGGGGGGGAGATACCCTCTTAACAGCACACAGAGCAGGCTGGGGAGCCACTGTGTTAGAGTCACTGAACAAAAGGTCTACAAGGCCTTCATATTTGGAGCCAGGGACAAGTGGTACAGCCAACTGTCACTTAAAATATCCTCTTCTGTTGTCTTTCTTCATCCTCACACATCGAAACATGGGTGGAAGGAGGGAGGAATGATTGTTACCAGCTTACAGTAAGAGAACCCTGAATGAAGGGGTTATCCCAATCTACCTAAGCAGGCAAGAAAGGGTAGGGCCAGGAGAGTGAGTTACTGCCTGACAACCTTTTGAAGGCTGTGATTACATGGATGTCACTGTGCTGGTGTCCCCAAAACAGGTTCCCAGAGAGAGCAGGGCATTGGCGAGGGTCTCTGATGTGAACCAACCCAGGTCTCCCACAGCAAAGGGTCAATCTCTCTTTCTTTCTGAGGTGCTAGGCTACCTGGGCAGGCTTGCACGAAGCAAGGCTGGCTACGGAGCCGGTCCAACGGACAGCCGCCTCCAGGCAAGGGAGGTCTCAGCAGTTCCCGGCGTTGGAAGATAAGGCCCAAGCCACAGCTGTGGCTGCAGTCACTCCACACAGACCATGGTGCCAACACACAGTCCACTGCAGGGGAAAGTACACCAGAGCTTAGAAGGGGGCTCGTTCAGGAACAGGACCCTTAGGACTATACCTCAAACCAGCACATACCACAGTTGTCTTCATCAGAGCCATCCTGGCAGTTCAGCTGAAGGTCACAGCGCTGCTCACGAGGTAGACACTCCCCACTGCCACAGCTCAGCTGACTTGGGGAGCAGAGGATCGTTGAGGCTGGCAACCCAGGGAGGGCAGTGGTAGGTATGGTGAAAGGACCAGGACTTGCTGCCAATTCATAATTTCAGGAGAAAGAAGGGAGCCACATCAATGATTTTTGGCTGGATGAGAAAATGAGTTCCTTGAACTTCAGGCCAAAATCAGGACAGTTTGCTGAGCAGGGGCTCCGGTCTTTCCACCTTCCCAGTGCCTCTGGCAGCCTCCACCCGGGGTGAGGTCCACATAAGCCAACACAGTGGCTCCCCAGCCACTGTGTGCTGCTGAGAGGGTACCCCCTACACACACACACACACACACACACACACACACACACACACACACTTGCGCGTGCGCATGCCAGGCTCCCCCAGCTCTATATCAGGTTCCCCAGTTTTTCTGATTGGTTAACACTTGCTCTTCTGATTGGTGGACTAGACTTTGATCAAAATGATCTACCTCAGGTCAGATCAAAATAAAAGGAGGTCTCTACTGCCTGAGAAGCATGAGAAGAGAGGGTCAAGGGAAAGTAGAAAAATCCTGGTCTGATCTAATACTATATTCTAGTTGCAAAAGGACACAGCAACTTCCTAATACAAGTTCACTGTAAAACACGATGTTTAGAGGAGAGAACTGGAGTCATTTAAACACGACAGCAGAAGGAACAAGAAGGGCTGAGATTCAGGATGAAGACATTGCTACTGGTGTGAAGAAACACTAGTTTTTGAGCTTCCTGACAGTTGGTAGTGAAAAGGAGAGTCAGACACTCATTTTCTGCCAAAACATTCATCTTCAAAGACAGCCTTTTTGGAACCAGACTTAGAATAAGTCTAGGATTCATCCCATGAGTCCACATGTTGCAGATGTGATTTTTCACAAAAGACAGAGACATGGTTCAGACAGACTGTTGGAGTAGAGCTTCCTACACCATAGGTAAAGAAGCTGAGGCACTGGGTTGGCATGGTGTGTCCAGTATCTCTTAGGTTAGAGTCAGTACAAGTCTGCTGCTCCAGTGGTCCACGCCTATCCTACCCTACATAGGGGACCATGGTACAGGTGATCAGTAGCCATGGGGAAGCTGGCACATGCCTTTTCCTGCTTAGGAGTATCCTAAGTTGGGAATCCTGCACTCTCATGTCTGCTTAGGGCACTTGCTGCCAACAAACACTTTAGAAAAATGCCTAGCATCATAGCTAGGTGAGCAGAGAGACAAAGATGGGGCCAGGTGGTTTCTCAACTCCCTCAAGGAGACTGGTCTAGGGTCTGGGGGCTGCAGTCACATTGCAGGACAACTGCATGGCTCTAAGAACTATCTTTCTCCCCTCAGACCTCACATCTTGGATCTAGTAGGCTGAGAAGGTTGGGACCTGGCCACACACCTGGTGATCAGCATCTCTTGACCCCACAGCTCTCTTTGGGGAAGACAGAGGATAGGGGGATTTCAGCCTCTGGGATGACACTGCCCCTTTCTCTAGAAGGGCAGGTGATGACAAGGGCAAGGCTTTGGGGAGGGTATTAAAATCTGTGCACACACCTGCAGTAGGCACAGATGGTTCCTGCTTGGGCTGCTGGTGTTCCACGTCTGCCAGACCCTACAGAGGGAGAGAGCTCAGCAACCCTGCTCAGGCCTCCAGGGGAGCTCCACATGCCTCCCATCTCCAGCAATCCACAGATGCCCCCTTCCCACATCTATATGTTTACAGAAGCCCAGAGCTGAGGACAGAGATGACGCTCCTGAAAGGTAAATAGGCTGGATACCCCAAGGTACTGGCCCACAGAACTCATGACTAAGCTAACCTACCCTGCAAGGTGGATGAGCTCAGCACTCAGGCACTATCTCACACCCTCATTGGCCTACCTGTGCAGCCCCTACATCAGCTCTTTCCCCCAAAGCCCTAGGCCTTCCTAATACCCTGAGCAGGTATTAGGAAGTGTCCTGCCCTCTCTGTGTCACAGATACGCCCATCCTTCAAGCTTTGTCTCAGATTCCTTTGGGGACCCCAGGCATAGTTTCTAAAAGCAAGTGTCCCGGTGCCTCCTCACCCATGACATAGAGCTCTTGCCACCCAGACTGCACAATATCAGTGCCCTGCCCTGTACATCTCCACACCACTCTGTCCCTCTAGCATTCAGCATCATAACTGGCACCAAGGTGGATCTCACATAGCTCAGGACTGAAGGCCTAACAGAATCACACCAGGAAACACAAGTTGGGGGAAAAGCCACTGAATGTATGGAGCGGGAGGATAATTCAGGTGCAGACAGTACAGTGGTGGGGTGCTGAAGCACAGATCCTCACTCACCTCCCTGGGCTGGGATGGAAATGTTCCAGGATGAGTAGAGGAGAGAGCTGGGGTCCTAGCTGTGGAATGGACTCTGGGAAGAAAGACCACCAGGAAGGTTCCAGAGAATCTCCCAGTCCTGGAGCCCAACCATCGTGAAGGGACCAGATTAGGGCATTCAAGAGGGACACTGCCCACTAAGACTGGACAAAGGTGAGCTCTAACAGTGGTCTCGGCTTGATTATGTCATGGTCACTGGAGGGCAGATAAAGCCCTCCCATTTCTAACCCACAGAACGAGGTAAAAAACGGAGTCTCCCATCTATCATGCTGGGGAAGGTGCACTTGGCTCAGGTGCCATCCTTTGAGAGTTAAACACCAGATATCGGGAGAATGAACAGAACCCAAGATTTTCGCGGCAGGTAAGGGCTCTGGAGGTCCCAGCTGACTCCTCAGCATGCATGGTTTGTGAAGGCAAACCAGGCCTCCTCCATACTCCTTCCCCATGCAGGTTCCACCCAAGGCCAGGCCATACCTGCTGGTGGTATCTGCACGAAGGGGCCTACAGTCCTCCTCATCAGAGCCATCCTTGCAGTCCTCAGCACCATCACATGACCCTCCCTTTGGGACACATTCACCACTGGCGCAGCGGTGTCTGTTCTCTGGACATGGGGGTACCAGTGGGGATACTGTGGAGGATATGTTACTAGGACTTCTGACATCACACTACCCACTCTTGTCCCTCCAGCTCCCAAGCTGGCCTGTACCTGGCTTACAGCCCAGTAGCTCCACCCATAGGAAGGTATTGTGCTGGATGTTGTCGTTGTGGCTGCCGCCATGTGGCCACACTCTGACATACCTCGCCTGCACCATCTGGTCGAATGTCCATACCTCAGGGGCCATATAGTTAGGGCCCCGGGGAGAAAGCTGTGGGAGATATTACATGTTGCCCAAGTCCCACCTCATGCTCAAGCTGCCACTGCAACTCTGCTTTGGTGCTCTTTAAGAAAGTAAGAGTGAACCCCTTTGTGGACTGAGCCCTATGGCTGCAAGGGGTCTGTCTCCTTGGGGAGGATGCCAACCCCTACAGGAAGTGTACTGTGCCTAGGCTGCTCCACAGAGGCCTGCACCTCTGAGGGCCTCTGTGAACTGGATATGTTATGTGTTACTGTCCTGCTCCTTCACAAGTTTTTAGAGGGTCATATGTGCAGACTCTAAGCCACATCCATGTTTTCAGATGTCCCTGGACTCTAAGCCCCACAGAACATAGTCCCTGCTAGCAGGTGTTTCATAGCTGTCTAATGCAATGACTGTCCCTTGGGGATAAGGGCTGTGGTATCCACAAATGGGTTTCTTGGGTCACTTGCCCCAGGGGACTGGAATTCTCAGTACCGTGGGTGGGGGCAGGGTATTCGGCAGGGAGTTGAGATAGTCATGCCACTGTAGACCATCACTGCTGAACTGGAGTGACAAGCTTGTGACATAAGCAGCAGAAGAGCCAACTCCCTGCACCATGATGCCTGAGGAGGGACCAGGGCAGGGCAAAGGTCAGCAACACTGAGACAGCCACTCCATCGCCCATCTCCTAGCCTGTGCCCTCCCCTCACTGACCAGTTAGGTTCCAAGGCTGCAGCAGGTCCAGCTGCAGGTAGAGTGGCTGGGTGTGCCACTTGGCATAAGCATCCTCTCTAGGGCCAGGCCCTGTGGTGGGAGCCCCCATGGCAGCCCAGGTGGGCGGTTCCAGGTGCTGAGATGATGCCCACATGGGCAGTTGGGCCAGGCCCAGGGGAGAATAGCAGGCATCTGGGTGCAGAAGAGAGAGACAGGCTGGAGTAGGGCAGAACAAAGGGTGGCAGGAACAATTAGGGAGCCTCAAGGGGAGCTGACCATATTGATGACAAAAAAATGAAGCAAGGAAGCAGATTTGGGGAATGCAACTTGGGATGTGTGATTCCACCACATGTAGTGTGTAGGAGGCAGGGAACTGTGCCAGAGGTGCTGTTTCCCTAGCAGACTGGAGATTACTAGGGCAGTCCCTTTTAGCATCCAAACAACACATGACTTACCCCCCAGGGGAGGCAGGACATAGGTGATGAGGGGGGCTCCGATCTGAGGGCTGGGGGCAGGAGTGCTCTTGGGGACCGCTGTTTGGTTCTTCCCTGTGCAGAGACCCAGTGGTCAGAAGAGAGTGGGAGAGGCTGCCACCAGCCACCAACCCAGCACTGGGTCCTCCATACTTCCTGGACCATGTTCCCTCTCATGACTCCTCAAGAATAAATTCCAGCTGGGAAGAGTTCCTCTTTCCCTTTGAGTGACTTGGGGTTTTTCACCTCCACTGACTATTCAGAAAACAAAATAAAACCTCAGGCCAAAACACCTTTTTGGCAAGTATGGAACAGGTGCAGTTTCTAACCTCTGTAGGCATTAGAAGGAGACTCGTGCAATGAACACCTATGTAACTTTACATGCTGGGTAAGCTCTAACTTCATCAGTTTATAAGTGCATTTTTAGGGTACGGAGACCGGAGCCCCTGTCATCACCTGCACTGATTCTTCCCCTCTAGAGGCTCTTCTGCCACCCCTCAGACCACTCACCAGGCAGTGTACAGTGGCAACACGACTCTCCCATCCCCTCCACCAGGACCCAGCCCTGTGGGAATGTGGAAGTCAAGCCACTTGTCCATCCCCGACCCATTCCATCAGTTTCCCCAAGCCTGGCTGGTCTGTACCACCTCTCCAGGCTCAGCCCTCTCCACATTCCCACACCCCTCACCTGAGGACAGTGGCCCAGTGGGCAATAGGGGGAGCAACGTGTGATACCCCTGTGCAGACACTCACACACCATGCAGGGGCCCCCACGCCAGCGTTCCCCAACATGGTGCACGAGGCCCCACTGCTCACAGCCCTCACAAGGCTCTGTCTGGCACCTGGAAAGGGAGACATAGTTACAGCCTCCTGGTAGAGGGTGCTCTATCAAAGACACCCCCAGCTAGCTGGAATAAGGGTATTCCTAGACTTTTGGCTGTTGCTAATAAAACTGGGAAAGTCCTAGGGAAATGTTTGGTTACACTATAATCCCACTTCACCTCTGCTCCTAAGAGAACAACCACAACAGGCACAACAGATTGGGGGAGGGAAGCAATTTGTGCCAACACTGTAGGTTAACACAGCCTGCTCCAAAAGGACTGAAATAACTATGGCCCTACAAGCCTCAACAGAGGCACTCTCCCCTGCCCCCACCCTCCAGAGACAGACCGTTCTTGTCACTGGAATGGTCAAGCGCTATTGGTCTGCTGGCTCCAGGACCTAGCAGGCACAAAACTGAATAGGAAAAGACAGCTGAGGTGTCAAGGGTGTGTGTGTGTGTGTGTGTGTGTGTGTGTGTGTGTGACACAGAACAGGTTGCTAGTGAGGTCTCTGTCAGGTGTGAAATGCCTACCTTAGAGTTGACCTCCTAAGCAGAGATAGAGGGTAGATGGGGTCCCCTTCATGTACCTGCGGGCCTTGCGGTGGATGCCATGGCACTGGCGACCCTGACCAGACAGGCGTGGGTTGTTGGGGCTCCGGAAGGACCACTGGAGGCTCTGGCTGCTGCAGGCACCCAGGCATTCAGCCCAGGGGGACCAGGAGGACCAGCCGCAATCCACTGAGAGAAGACAGAAGTCAGGACAGGGTGGTCTGGGAAGGTATAGACCCCACTCTCCCCAACCCCCAGGGATGGGCCTGGGCAGCAGCTTACCAGAACATTCTGGATTGGGCCGACAATGATGTGGTCGCCCATCTTGGCAGAGGCAGAGCTGGCAGTTCAACTTGATGCGTTGCCCAGGCCAGTAACGGGTACCATTCACCAGGCAGGGGCACTGCCTGGGTCTCAGACACTGCCCCTCAGTGCCCAGCACCTGCCCTTCTGGGCACCAGCAACCTAGGAAAAGCCCAGCATTAGGTATCATGCAAAGCAAAGCCTCCACAGACTCTGTCTAGTATCCGCCTTACCTGGGCTGCTGCAGGGCCTGTCTGGGGAGCACATGGTCTGACCAGAAATATCATCACAAGTCAGAGGGCAGGGGGCACAGGGCCGGAATACCAACTCCCCAAAGCAAGTGGCATTGGGGCAGCCCTCCTGAGGGCAGGGATCTGAAAGAAGGCCAGGACAGAGAGGCATCTCCATTGAGACCAGTATCTACCACTGTCCATCATACTCCTAGCACCACCACAAGCCCCCAATATCCTCAGTGTTTCAACTGCTGACTCCTTTGCCCTCAGTACCCCTGTTCCAGCAACCCTCTACTCATGGTGTGTTCTCCCACTGCCCCATACTCAGCCACAGGGTCTCCTCCCCAGTGTCTCCCTCAGTACCCATCATCACCCTCCTCAAGTCCTTACTTGTGCCCTCTTCCCCTTTACTTACTTGCCTGGTGAGTACCACGAGGGCTCCCAGGCAGCAGGACACAGTCCTGGCCCCCGTTTTGGGGTGGATTACACTGCCGATGGCGTGTCATGGTGCCCCCACAAGGTTCAGAACACAGAGACCAGGGAGACCAAGAACTCCATTCACCGTCCACTGCAAGGGAGGGCCAGGATGGCGTGAGGCAGGGCTAGGGAGCAACAGCCTCTATTTCCCCTTTGTCTCCAGGGCCTGCTGCCCATCCCCCTCCCAATGTCCCTTCCCTCACCAGGGCAGGCCTCCATGAAGCAGGCCTGTGACTGGTGCTGCGGGCCTGGGCAGTTCTGCAGCACGGGGAGATCGGATGGGGAGCAGTGTCGACTCCGGCCCTGTATGCCAGGCCCACAGGTCTGACTGCACTGCTCCCATGGGCCCCAGGAGCTCCAGGCCCCACAACCCTGCTCTTCCACGGAGGTCTCTGCTTCATTGTCCAGCTCACAGTCTGGGTTCCCATTACAAACCTGGGAAAAGCAACAGGTTCAGGCTTCTGGCTAGGTGTACAAAATCTGATCCTACCAATCCCTGCTTGAGACTCTCACCAGCAGGAAATCAATGCAGGTGCCATTTGGGCAGGAGAATTCTGGGCATGGGACCCCTGTCCTATTGGGGCCTCCTAGGATTGATAGTTCCTCTGGAGAAGAAAGAACAGTTAAGAAGGATTGAAAACCATCTCCTAGACTACAAGAACGTCCCCAGCAAGAAAACAGTATCCACACCACAGTCTAGCTCATCCTCTGCATGGAAACAGTCAGGGACCCCACCACAGAGCTTCTTGGGGCTCACGCACAGCCATGGAGCCAAACCACAGGAGAAGAGGCCATCATATGAGGGCAGCTGGGAGGAACCTATGAATAAGGGGTGTCCTACCACACTGCTGCTCCCTCACCCCCATCCTATCCCCGCATACAGACCAGCAGGAAAGCCAGAACATTAGAGGAGTTCATGGGCAGGAGTCATAGTCCTGGCCTGGATCGAAGGAACCTTTAGGAAGGGCTTAATAATGGTCCTGGAGCAAAGTAAGGCCTGTGGATGGTTTGATATCCTCTCTGGTGAGGTAAGCGAGGCATGAAGGGCTCATTTGTAAGGGCCTGTGGATGGTTTGATATCCTCTCTGGTGAGGTGAGCGAGGCATGAAGGGCTCATTTGTAAGGGCCTGTGGATGGTTTGATATCCTCTCTGGTGAGGTACGCGAGGCATGAAGGGCTCATTTGTAAGGGCACAAAGATGAAGTGGGGAGAAGCTGTGGATAGTGAAGCCTACAAAGAGACCTATCCCCTGCCCTCAGTCACCACCCACTCTCTTGCTTCTTGCCCAAAGACAAGCAGACGAAAGGCTCCTTTCTACTCTCCCATGGGCCTGCATGGGAAAGCAAAACCTAAGCAATTTTATGGTAAACATCAGAGAAACACAGAAACAACCGTGTAGCCCCTCTCTAGCTGTGCACCCTGCCACAGCGAGGGTCAACAGTGGTGCTTGGAAAGAACCAGGCCCCAGCCCACTGGCCACCAGCAGAAGGGAGATATGTAGTCTCACCACAGGCTTCGGGGTCCTCATCTGAACCATCGGGGCACTGTGGCACAGCATCACATAGCTGTCCTGGGGACACGCAGTGCAGGCTGTGGGCACAGGGCACCTGGTGCGGCAAACAGGGCCCGCCACAGCCAAGTTCATCACTTCCATCTGGGCAGTCTTCCTCCCGGTCACAGCGCCAGCCCTGAGGAGTGCACTCCCCACTGCTGCACTGGAACTCAAAGAGGCCGCAGAGGGACACTGCAGTGCATGTGTTGGTTAGATCAGCTGGAGTGGACTCTGTCTCTCCAGCTTACCCTCACATCTCCTTTGGGCTGCCCTCTAATTTCAACATCCATGACTCCTACCTTCCCAGTCTGGGCCTGCCCATCCTGTGTGTGACTTTCATTTTCTGCAAGCCTTCCCCTAGTCCCTAAATGTCCACTAGGTTCTCCTTCACTTGTTCAGAGGGTGGCCCTGAACACCAGGAAATAAACCTGGACCTTCCACCCCTCTCAAACCTGAACACTCCTTTCCAGAGTCTCCAGCCCTAGAGTTTATCACAAGTGCTTCCCTCTGGTATACTCACCCATCCCTTTCTGGGCAGCACAGGCTCCCAGCTCTCTCACCTTACTTATTCCCAGAGACTCACCAGGCCTGGCACTGCCCACAGGACTTGATGCTGTATTCAGAGAGCTGGTGGAAAGGCTTTGCCAAGTGCCAGCAGGGGGTGTAGGTAGAGAAGGCAGAGGGCAGTGCCTAAGCCCCTCATCAGCTCCCTCTGGGCAGTCCCAAACTCCATCACACAGCTGCATGGTCCTAATGCAAGTACCATCATCACAAGATACGTCTCCAGATGTACAGCTCACTTGCCCTGCAGCCAGAGGAGAGGAGGTGATTCTTGGACTTACCCTTCTAAGACTTCTAAAAACATATGTGCCTATGTGTCTGTGGATGTAAGCCACATGTGTGCATGTGCCCATGGAGACCAGAAGAGGGTTCAGAATCCCTGAAGTTGGAGTTATAGGTGGTTGTGAGTGGCTCAATGTGGGTGGTGGGAACTGATTTCAGGTCTTCTGGAAGAGCAACAAACAATCTTAACCACTGGGTCACCCAGTCCCTGGGATCACCACTTTTTCTATCTCTTTGGGGTATCTCCATTCAGTCACTGACAGGTACCACCTTCATGAGTGGACACCTGGCATAGAAGGGGATGGATACACAGGGACCTTCCAGGATCTGGATCCTGAGAGGGGTGCCTAGTGTACTGCAGGCAGGGCAAAGACTCCTCACCCAGACAGGATTCTTCATCTGCAGCATCCAGACAGTCAGGAAGACCATTACACAGCAGGGCTGGTGACAGGCAGCGACCATCAGCACAGGCCAGAGAGCCATGGGGACATGGACACCCCTTCTCATCTGTGCCGTCTCCACAGTCATCCTGCCCATCACAGAGCAGGGCCAGGGGCAGGCAGTGGCCAGATTGGCAAGACATCTGTCCCTTCCCACAGCCTGAGGTGGCACAGCCTATCATGGAGAAAGCAGGCATGTCCAGGATGCAGTGCTACCAAAGGTCCTAGCCTAAGAAAGATCAGAACACCTTCCCTGTCCCTCAATCCTCACTCAGCACCCAAGTCATCACTCCTGGCAGGGGAAGTGGCAGCTTGGGAAGCCACCCTGGGGATAGATGCTACAGTTTCAATGAACTCAGTTATCTGTCCTTGCCACTGCCACACACAGGTAAAAACACTCACCCTCCTCATCTGAGCCGTCACCACAGTCATCCTGGTTGTCACAAAGCCACCCAAGCGGCACACAGTGCCCACTCTCTCTGCACGGAGCCTCTCCTTCTGCACAGCCAGGTTCCAACTCCTCACAGGGGACACCATCACCTCCACAATGCCACTGACTTTCCTGACAGGTACTGAGCACAAAGGGGGCCTGGCATTAGCCACATGTCAGCTTGTTCAGCCTAAGAGCCCAGGCCTCTCTTGGGTCTCCCACTCACCAGTTTCTACAGCCCTTTTGCAAAACAGTCCCTGGTGGGAAGAAACTGCCACCCCACTCACAGGGACAGGCAGTCAGCTCCACACAGACTCCTCCTGAAGCACAGAGCATGGGGTTCAGAACAAAAGATGCCCAGCCAACACTTGTGGCCTTTACCCAACCTTAGTGTTCTCTCCCCAGCAACACACCATGCAGCAGTGTCCCCTCAGGGCAGAAGCAGCCTTCCACACAATTGATGGCCTGGCAGTGCCATCTGGTCTCAGGATGATGGTCATGGCAGGTGGGGGGACAGGGAGAGCCACAGGCGTCATATACCTGACCTCCTTCACATTGTAGGGCTGGGTGGGGAGAAGAAAGGGTCTGCTCATTGAGGCCCAAGGGCACCAGGAAGCAGTGGCCCAGGCAAGCCAGCTTCAGTTGACATCCAAGGAAAGCACAGAATGCATGCCATAGATCTTTACCAAGACCACCCCCGCGCCCCCCCAAAATAAACAAGATGAAGGTGCTAGCCCCGTGCATCAGCCATCCTCATGTTTGAATCACTAAGAAGTGTCTAGCAACAGAGTGAGCACTCAGCTCACATTTGGACCTAAGTGATGAAATGGCCAGCTGGTGGGACAGGAGAAGCACCTTCAAGAGGCTTGATTGTACGGCAGGACTGAAAGAGCAGGGCACACTCACGGCAGAGTTCCTGACTGCGCCAGCGCACATGGTGTCTGTGCCGTGCACACTCATCGGCATATGCTGCAATGGCCGAGCAGAGGCACTCGCAGTCGCCTCCCGTGTCACAGCTGTGGGGTGGAGCTACCAACCTATCATACACCCACTCCCTACCCACGCCCCAGCATGCCCATTGCACCCACCCCTCAGTCCTCCTTACCCGCAGGCATCGTACACACACCACTCATAGTGCTGCTGTGGGGGCACCTCTGTGTGGCATGGGGCAAAGACTGGCTGCAATATCACCCCACAGCGGGCCTGGGCCCAGTTCATCCGATGGGTGTTCACCTGCAGCACGCAGGCGGGGGGGGGGCGCTTCTGTGAGTCTCTCTCTCTCCCTCCCTCTCTCTCTCTCTTTCAACTGGTACACCCCTGCCTCCCTCTGGTTTCCCTGCCATGCTCACTGTACAGGGGTGTGGCAGGTCTCCTGGCTCAGGGCACAGGGGATTGAGGCGCCAGGAATGGGCAGTGAGCTCTGCTGTGGGTTCCAGGACTCCTTGGCGGCTCCGCAGGTCATTACTGGCGTCACCATCAAAGTCTCCACACAGCCCAGCCACACGACCATGGAAGTGGGGGGACAGCTGTACCAGCACCCGGGTTCCTGGTGGCATTGTAAAGAGTGACTTTTGGGGCCCTCAGCTGGTCTGGGAAAGACACATAGCTATAACAGCCTCTGGCACAGGGGCCCCCACCCAACAGAGCTGCTGATTCCCTCCTTTGGGGTTAACTGAAAAGACCAACATCTGGGAGCCAACTAGGCACCTAGTTTCCTAAGTAATAGCAGGTTGAGAGACTCGGAATCCCCAACCAGCCCAGATTCAGGTAGCTTTAGAATGTGCTGAGAGGCCCTAATACCAGAGTCTTCCTTCTGTGGCAAGAAGCTAGCCCAGCACAGAGGACATAGTGCACACAGGGCTATTTTGGTTTCCTCAATTCCTCATTAGCAGTTAGATTTCTAAAACACCAACTGCTTATGTTTGGGTAGTGAGATGTCAGTGGGCCTATTTCCATTTCTTTCAAAAACTTGGTATTTTCTAAATGCTTCTTTGATAGGGCTGTCATATTCGTAAAATGAAGGAAAACACAATTATGAAAATATAATATGGGTACTATAGCAATGGCTCAGTGGTTAAGAGTACTTGCTACTTTTCCAGAGGACCCAGCTTCAACTCCAAGTACCAACACATCAGCTCACAACTGTCTGTACTTGTTTCAGGGGACCCAGAACTCTCACATAGACATACACACAGGCAAAACATGAATGCACATAAAATAAAAGTAAATAATTTAAAAAAGAAAATATAATATGGAAGCTCCAACTACTTTGAAGGGCAGTCAGTTGTGACCAGAGGGGGCACTGGGCAGAGGATGGGAGACAGCAAAGGTCTTGGCCTGGCTGTCATACTGGAAATCTGTCCCAAGCAGGCTGTCAGGGGTTACTCTCAGAGTTTGGCAGGCACTGGGTTTGGGGTAAATTCAGCTACCAGTGCAAAGGGCTGGTGTGGGCTAAGGGCATCAGGGCAGAGCCTGACCTCCATCCCAGAGCAGAGTGAGACCTAGGCGTGTTGTCAACAGAAGGAAGGTGCCAGCACGGTGCAGGCTCAGCCCGGGGCCTGTATAAACTTTGGGGAGCTTTATGCTCACTCCATTCACTGTTATTGCCTGGCCTGGAAAAGAGAGGGTGTTAAATTTAGCCCGGTCCCTGAGAGGTCCTCCCAGCCACTCTTCCAAACTTTCTTTTGATAATTTCCCTAGGTGAGGTTGGCTGGCTCATAAAGCTTCTCTAGGCCTCGATTTTTCAGAGTTCTAACTCCAACAAACCCCACCATAAGAACAACCAAATGCAGGTAGGAGCTGAGAGGGAACCTGGGTCCCAGCCACACTGAGGAGCTGCGATGCTACCTGGTTATGCCTCCCACCCTCTAGCAGTATCACAGCTATCCTTAATAGGTCACAGCCACCTCTAAGCATGTGCACAACAGTGCTGTCCAGACGCACAGTCAGTGCTTTGGTGCAAGTGAGGCCACTGGCCCCACAAGGCAGGTTCTGGATGGAGACACTGAAGCGGCCACTAGCCTCTCTCACAAGCAGGTACTCGCAGGCCCCAGGAAAGGTAAGGACCAGTCCATCAAATGTCACATAGTGGGGGGCACCCGATGCCTGGCACCATCCACTGCACTGCTGACCTGTGCAGTGCCACCGTTGGCCCTGGCACACACTGTGGGCAAGAGATAGGACATAATCGTCAACAACAGGGACAGCCCGGGCAGACCCAGGGTGTGAAGGATTCTAGAAGGTTCCCAGTGTCTAGACTACTCTGGATGTTCTGTTCCATCTACCATTCCAACCCCTTTTAGTAAAAGGGGCATGGTGTCTGGGGATTCAAGGGTCACGAGGTCATATAGTAACTTGTGACAGTGATTGAGCATACCAAATGTTGCAATCTTCCTGGATGGTGGCATTGGGTGTGTACCATTGCCCATTGTGACGACAGGGACAAAGATCAGGAGGCACACAGCGCTTGTCCTGGGTGGACGTTGAAAACACTATTTTGCACAGCTAGGGAGCAGGGCAGGGTCCTTATAAAGGGAGAGAACTCTTGCTGCCCCAGGGGTCCCCTTCTCAGCCTTACCAGCAGCACTGTACCAGGGGGACAGACACAGCCGTCAGTGCTTCCAGCTGGACAGGAATGGTTGGCACTGAGGCTGTCACAGGTGAGAAGGCAGGCACCAGGGGCATAGATGAGCTCCTGGGGACAGAGTGCCCGCTGTGGGGGGCAGTGGGGGGCTGTGCAGTTCCAAAGGCCTCTCTCCTGGCAGACACTGTAGAGGAAGGAAAACAGAAGAGCCAGGCCCAGCATGGGCTCATCTGGCTATCCTAGGCCACACTAAATCTTAGGAACCTAGATGCTGAGGACCTCTGCAGGCATCTGGGTCCCCTAATGTCTGGCAGGAACCCATCCCCAATTCTGGAACCTGGAACAGCTCAACTTCCAATAGGAGGGCAGGCTGTTCAGGAAGCCCACAGGAAGCCTGAGGTCCACAGTCCCCCTTCTGTCTGGCTCCAGAGGGGCTGGCCTGTTATTGATTATCCTAATGTGATGACTAATCTTGACTGTCCATTTGATGAGATCTGGAATCCCTTGGAGAAAGATCCCTGGGTCTGTCCATGAAGGATTTTCTAGACTGGGTTAATTGACGTGTGAAGACCCACCCAGACTGGGCAGCACCATTCCACAGGCTGAGGTCCTAAGCTAAATAAAAAGGAGAAAGCAGGCCAAGCACCAGCATCCATCTCTCCCTGCTTCCTGACTTCCCCGCCAGCCAAAATAATCACTGCCTCCTGTGTTTGGTCACAGAAAGACATTTACCACTTGTCCAAGCAGCAGAGGGATCCACTGAAGTGCCCTGGAGCCTATTGGTGCCTCCTTAGGTATACACCTCACCCTCCCTTCTCTGTAACAAACTGTCTATGCAGCTGAGCCCCTTTCTTCTCATCTACAATGCAGGAATGGCTTTCCACCCCCACTCTTCATTAGACTGTAGTTGGGAAGTGAAATCAATACAGTAGGTAGTGGACATGAGAGAGCTTCCGAGGCTGACAGTGCCCCGGCACTGAGGAAGTCCCAGCACCCCACCATCCCTGTCTGGCAACCCAGGTGACCATGCAGCAGCCCAGCCAGCCATTCTCTCAAAAGCTCTTTCTCTTTTGATACAAGGGTAGCAGTTCTTACCAGTGGCTGCAGTCTTTCTTGGTGGTGGTGGTGCCAAACGTGTAGCGACGGCCTCCAAGCTGACAGGGGCACATGCTAGGAGGCACACATTGGCCCTCAGGGTCCCACAGCAGTCCCGGGGGACAATTACAACCAGCCACACAGCTGCCAAGCTCTTTACACTCTTCTGGCTCCCCACAATGATGACCACACACTGGGGCACACTCCTGGTATGTCTGGCCACCAGGACACAGGATAGCTGAACACAGGGATACATGCAAATCAGAAGTCTGGCCACCCTGTCTGAACCTCAAGTCCCTGTGCCTTTATGGGAGAAGCTACCTAGCAACAGTCTGGTAAGGAAGGAGTTCCTGCCCCCTCCAGCTTCCTCCAGCTGGGGAGGAGGGTACTGGGAGAAGGAGAGGAGCCCAGGATTGGCTGGGGGAGAGACTTACGGCACAGTGTCTCGTTCCTCCATTGCAGCAGGACACCCTCCTGGGCACAGCGATGTGCATAGGCAGAGAGCACAGAGCACAGACAGTTCCTGCCAGGGCCACAGCCACACACAGCCTCCAAGCACCGCAAGTAGAATGACTCTCTGTCTACTAGCCCATGACACTCCTTTAGGCAGAAAGAAAGGATCAGTTCTTTCTTCGTGGACTCCATTCCCTTAAAAGACCATTGCTGCCTCCCTGTACCCTCGACTCTTTCTTGCATTTTGGGTCCTTGATCTTATGAGCAGAGGAGGGGGATGCTTTAGTACCTGAAAGGCGTGGCCATACAGGATGGCACAGGCTGCCTCTGCGAAAGTGAGGTGCTGGGAGTAAGTGCTGCAGGAGGACAGTTGGATGTTATCCATCAAGGGGCACCTTCCAGCACCTGACACTTGAAACTTGCTAGCAAAGGCAGCCACACTGGTTTCTATGTCCCCAGCTGGTGTCAGGAAGTCATCCTGCTGTTTCCAGGTAAAGGTTCCACATAGACCCTGCACCTGAGCCGTGGAAGACACATAAAAGTGAAATCCAGTCCCATTTAGCCTAGCCCAGACACTCACTGGCCTCCCAGCATACCTGGTAGGCATGATGGGGGTCCAGGGTGATGTAGGCTGCAGGGTCAGCCACTCCCCAAAGAATCCAGGCCCCAGGCCAGCGCAATAGCAAGAAAGTGGAGGAGGCACGGGAAACATTGAAGCCCTCAGCAGCAATCCAGGGCAAATCTACATCCTGCCCATCCACCAGCACAGCTCCTAGAAGAGAGGCCTGATCATGTGATAGGGAGCCTTTGGAAGGATGGGGCTGCAAGAGGCAAAAGACTTGGCAAGATGGGAGGGCATGTGTCTGGGGAGGGGTATGCGAGCTCTGGTGATCCCTGGAGGCCACTTGTCCTACCCAAGACAGTCCTTCGGTAGCGCAAGAACCCACATCATCATGCATTTTTGCATAACCCTTTGTTTGTGTGGTCAGTGTGTGGGAGGAGCTGGGTAAAGAGAGCCAGCAACGGGCCTGGGCTTGGCAGAGTTGGGGGGGGGACAGTACTGAGAGGGGCCAGCCTCAGAGAGGGGTCAGTCCCAGCTGCTTGCACACAAGGCCTATCCAACTCTTCTGTGTGACTTGTATTTACCACTTAATACCAGCAGAAGATGTTTTGGAAAATATCCTTGAGATAGTATGCCGGCCCCTACAATGGGAGCATAAAGCAATGTAAGCATTAAGTTCAGCTGCAGGAATCTAGAAGGGATGGTTTGTGAAATCCAAAGAGGGTGTATGGAGGGCAGGTACAGGCAGGCCTGAGTTTGCAGAGTAAGAACAGTGGACAACAGGCCCAGTTGGACCCTGAAGAAATAAACTGCAGAACTGTTGACTCCCCAGAGAACAAAGGCCCCAGTAGACAAGGAGGCAGAGCTGCTACCTGAGTATCTGAGCTGAATGTGGGTATTCCCCAGGAACACAGAGAGGGCATGGAGGCAGCTCCCAGTGTCACAGGCCCCATGCTCCAGTGCAACCAGCAGCTGGCCTTTCAGAGAGTCCTGGGGTAGACAAGGTGGTAGGGATGTGTAGAGAATCCACGAGGAAGCCTCAGTAGTGTGATAACTTCAGCTGCCACTCCACACAGGTGCTACCCAACTTCTAGCCAGACAGATTTTGTGAGGCAAGGGCCTTAACCTTACCAGGACTGGCATGGGTGAATTGATGTGAGGGCATGTGGAAAATAGGTTTGTGTGATTGCTTGTTGGTGTGTGTGTGTGTGTGTGTGTGTATGTATGTATGTGTGTGTGTATGTATGTGTGGTTTGTATGCTAGCATGTAGCCTCCATCTCTGTGTGTATACCTCAGGCATCTTTGGCCTGCAGACTGGGTAGACAGTTGCCCTGTTGGCCCTGCATTCCCCTGATTTTCTCACCCCACTGTTACCCAAGCAAGAAAAAACAAGTAAAGGAATTGTAGTGGTCCAACATTAAAATTGAGAGATCACTGAAAAAAAAAAAAAAAACATGGTGTGTGGTGAATTCCCCAGCTTTATTGGGGAGGGTCCCTTCTTTCTCCTGCCTGTGACAAGCCCAGTGTTTTAACATCTGTAAATAGGACTATAAAGATGGATTTAGTTCTGTGGCCAGTTAGGAGAGGTGGGGACTAGAAAGGATGGTGTGTGTGTGTGCGTGCGTGCGTGCGTGCGCGCACACCTGCACGCATGCAAGCACACGTGCATCTAAGGTGTGTGTGGGGTATGCAGGTAGTCATTGTCCTGCCAGCATTGCCATCCATCTTGCCTTGCAAGGGGCTCTATGTTTCGCCTGTTGCTTTAATGATGTGTTTACAGTCTTCTTCCCTCAGAACTCTCCTGTGAGGGCCCCTACTCTGCCAAAATCCTCTTCTTAAAATAGGCTCTCTGCTCACCTGCACCAAGCTGTAGTGGCATCCTGGATTGCCTCTGAAGGAGAAGCTCCGCCCATCAAAAGTGAAGTAATGCCCGTCACCACCCACTGCACACTCAGCAGGGCACAGGGCCTGGGCACAGTGCCAGCGGCCATCCTGGCATACACTAAGGGCAGGGAGGGTGGGACAGTGCACTGTGGCATCAGATCCATTCCAGAGTGTGAAGCAGGACATGAACCACTCCCAGCCCATTGGTTCTTTTACTTTCCTGGCACACCCACCACCATTAGAACTGGATAGTCTTTAATCATACCAGAAAACATCACAGAATGCACTGGTTATTTGGAAGTGCAGATCTCAGAGACAGCATAAAGAAAAGTATCAGACAATACTACATGTCCACCAGAGCCCAAAGACCCACCAAGGGTTGCACAGCTGGTTCACAATGTCACCAGGGGCATAGCGCTGGCGTCGGTGGTAGCAGGGGCAATGGGCAGCAGGTACACAGCGGGCACCATCCCAAAAGAGGCTGTCGGGGCACTCACAGCCACTCACACACTCTTTCCCACAAGACCCCTCCTCTCCCTGGGCTACTGCTGAGCAGCTGGGTGGGCAGGATGAGACACAATCAGAGTAGAGCTGCCCCCCTGGGCACAGGCGTTCTGTGGGAACAAAAAATGTTCTGTGAAGGTTTGGCCTTGAAAACCCAATAGGCCATGGGAGACAGCCAGGCCCTCAGGACCAGGCCACTCAAGGGTCTTGGTTAGTTTGGGGTGGGCACACCCAGCATACCACAGAAGCCAGGCTTCCTCCAGTGCACATAGATATGATGTCTGGCACAGGCCTGGGCATAGTTGGCAAAGGTGGCACACACAGCTTCCTGCTGTCCCTCTGAGCCATTGCCTTCTCTGGCTCCAATACAGTAGGCCAAGAGGCAGGTCTCATGGTACTCATCCAGGGGGACCTGTAGGGAAGGGACATTTTCAGCGAGCAAATGACTTTCCCCACCAATATCTCCTGCCTCCTCTTCCTTTAATCCCAACTTGAAACCAAACATAGTAAGTCTGGAAGGGGCCTCAACAGTCACAACAACAGCCACCTTGTTCTCAGAGGCAAAACCAAAGAGAGGAGGTGACTGATGACCCAGTGCATCTAATGGCAGGGTCCGATCATCCAGCTGGCACCTCTCTAGCATCCACTAGCCCCTACAGAATCCTCCCTCCAGGGCTGGGCTGGTCATCACCTCCATCCCACCCATACCTGGGCATGACATTGCCAGAAAGGATCCTCCAGCAATTGGTGGCATATATCCTGGGCTTGAGCTTGAAGTTTGCCAGCTTCCGAGCCTGTCTGTGTACCTTGCAGGATACCCTCACAGCCCTGGGCCACCTCCACTGCATCCAGACACCCAGGCTGAGGATAGATCCAGGCCAGGGCATTGGCAGGGACATTAGCCAGTAAAACAGGAAAGCGGTTGCTACCCTCATAGTTGTCTCACTGTCATTCTGGGCTATGGATGGTAGCAAAGTGACAAGCCCAGACCAGAGAAAGAGGAACCAGGGTAGGTCAGCTAGACAGAGCTGGCCACATCGGAAGGACCTCTAGGACCTCTAGGGAGTTATCACACAGCAGTTACCAGACTCCCTATGGGACCTGGAACCTGTGTGCTCTTCCTGAAGACCCCAGAAAAACAGTGGGAAGGTAGGAAGCAGTCTCACCTCATAGCCAGGGAGCCTCCATGAATTCCCAAAGGTAGCAGCTAGCATAGCCAGTCCCCCTTCTGGCTCCACAAAGTCATCTGAGGAAGTTTGAGGCTAGTGTCAGACCTGCAGTCCTATGTCTTGCTCCCTTCCCTTCCCTCCTTCCCTCCCTCGCTCCATCTCACCCTCCTTTCCTCCCTCCATCTACTAGCTACACCAAGCCACACCACACATACCCTCTGGCTGGCCATTGTAAAGCCCACAGAGGCCCTGTGTCCGTCCCCAGAACTCATGGTCCACGGAAATGGAGATGGAACTGGACCTGTCCAGTCTCACAACAACCCCTAGGCCCCCAGAGAGCACCAGCCAGTCCCCCTGCCACTGTAGGCTCATCCCTGGGAAGAGGACAGGGTCATTCAGTCTCAAGGGTCATACTCCCTCTTGTCACAGCAGAGCCTAAACTGCCTAAGGAAAGAATTCACACAAATTTACAAGCTGCACTATGGTTTTCCTGCTGTGACTGCTATCTTGAAAGAGTAAACTACAACACACACACACACACACACACACACACACACTATATCCACACCACACATAACTATATACACAATCAACTCACACCACGTATACACATACAATACACATACCTTATACACAATCCACACGCCACAACACACTACCTATACCACATACCTCACAGTATACATACACACATACCATACTTCTACAAGACAATACATGCATATAATAATACACTCCACCCACCCACTCACCCATACCATACAGACACATTCACACTTAACCCCAGTGTCCTATCTCAGCCATGATGAGGCTTTCATAAGGAAGTGGGGAAACTGAGGCTCAAGGCAGTTGAACAAAGTGACTTGCCCAAGCCACAGTTGAAGGCACTAGGGAGGGGTGAGCCAGGCTTGTGTCTTCCTGTCTTCCTGACCGTGAACTTTCAAAAGCTTCCCAACAGTATTCAGGGGGACATAGCAGCTCTGCCCCAGCCTGTCACCCTGCCCCACAGGAGGAAAGGAGCCCTCACCATGGAGCAGCCGAGGCTCTCCAACAGGCACTGGCTGGCCCTCCACAGAGACCTCTCCATCTTGGATCAACACTTCCTCAGGGCCCATCATCACTTGAACCTGAGAGTAAGCAGTGGACCAGATGTGTAACTCTCCCCCCTACCATGTCCAGACCTTCCCTGGGGTCATCTCTCTCCCTTCCTCACCAGCCAACAGAGCCTAGGCTGGGGACAGTGAACCCTAGGTCTGAGGTGGACAGCCCAGGTGGAATCCACAGCACCAGCTAGCAAGTAGGTACACTGGCCTAGGAAGTGATAGTGACGGCCATCGAAGGTTTGGTAGTGGAAGCCGGACCAGGTGGAACAGGTGGCTGAGAGACGCTGGCGCTGGCTCCAGAGCTGGCCTACAGCCCCTGCTAGAGGCTGCAGAAGGGCTTCAGAGGAAGCATTGCCTGAACAAGATACATCATATGTGAGCCTCTAAATGCACGGACACAGTTCCCAGCACAGCAGCAGATAGGACAGAAGGGCATGGCCCCTCTGGAGAGACCATAGGAGTAGCCAGGGCTTGTAGGAAAGACCCAGAACTCTCAAGGAAAAGAGTGAGGGTGAGGGTCCCCAAGATTGGAGACTGTAGACCCACCTGGGTGGTACTGATCAGAACAGCTGAGGCACATCTGGGAGCTGCTGTCCCACCAGCTGTGTCCTGAGGGTTGGGCACAGCATTCTTCCAGGCTTCCTGCCGAAGAATTAGCTGAGCTTGCTACAGGTTGGCACTGCCATGTGACAAAACAGTGGCCTTTAGGGCTGGCTTCAGCAAGGGCTGTGGTAGAAGACGATGGGACACACTGTCATTATCTGGGTGGTCTGGAGAGCACAACCAGATCTGCTGTGTCCTCAAGAAATCTGTCACCTGTGCTACATCACAGATAGGCTCCCTTTCACAGCCACTATCCCAGAAGGTGCCCATCCTGCTTGGGTACTTACCATCAGTACAGTGAGGACCCCCCCATCCTGGACAGCAAGCCCTCACCGTCCGGTTCCAAGTAGCAGGCCGAGTTTCTGGGGGTCTGCCCCCACCATACAAGGGGAAGCAGGGGGAGATGATAATATTCAGCGGAGTCCCACCACAAGGCAAGACTTAAGGCCTTAGGTCTGCTTAACTATTCTGAGGTGTCCTGTTAGGTAATTCTCCCCCCCCACCTTAATTTCTTCAAATGAAAAGCAAGAATTAGTGCTGAGAAGCAGAAGGAACAAATGGCACACCTCTCCTTGCCACACAGTGCCCACCGTGGTCCCCTCTCATCCACCCACATCATCTCTCCCAAGCCTTCCTTGAACCCAGCTAGAACCTGTTTCCCAAAGGCCTGCTGCCTGTTGCACCAGTCCCTCCCAGCCCCCCCCCCCAGGATGTCCTGTCGTCACTTGTCCCTTCCTGACCAGCAGACAGCCCAGGTTCTGACCCCCACTCACTTGTAGATGGCACAGAGCCCAAGTGCTGGGGGCCTGGTGAGCCCTACATGATCACTCCAGGGCAAGTCCAGCCTCCAGCCTAGACGGATATAATGGTACAAACTGGTGCAGGGTACCAGGTCCTCCTGACGAGGAGTTACTTCCTCTTCCATGTGGATGGTCTCTGTCTGCTCACACCACCATCTGTCCATGGAAAGGGGAGCACAAGTACCAATATTGTCCCCTCTGTCACCAAGAAGCTCTGCACTATGAATAAAAGCCCCCAAGGACTGTCGGGAGAAGTACTTAAGGGTGGATTGAAGTGCTCAAATTAGAGTCTGGAGTTCCAGAAGGTGCCTAGGCTTAGGCAGGAAAAAGAATCTTATTGGGAGAGCCCCCATGAACTGCTTACCCATTAGTCAGAGTCCATAGCATCCCGAAGAGAAGGGAAGGGAGCAGCATAGCGCCCACCCCAGGTCACCTTTGAGAGAACCTGTGGCTTGGACTTGGGCAGTGCTGCTACAGGAGAACAGAAAGGACAGCACTGGTCCCCTGCCCCACACTGAGGTCAGTCTGTTCAGGGTTCTTCACAAGGGGAGATTTTATTCCAGCTTCTTGCCTCTGGGTACCAGCTGCCCAGAACAAGATTGGATCTTCCTATGGTATCCCTTCAGAAGCCAACTCTCTCTGGAAACAGACCCAATCACACCCCTCCGTGTGTGTGTGTGTGTGTGTGTGTTGGGGTTAAAGCTTGAGCCCCTGGTTTTCTACACTTTCAAGCATTACCGCAAATTAATGTATGAATTTGGTCAAGGCATGTTCCTCTTCTGGGCGTCTGCTTCCTTACCAGTACAAACTTCAGGGACTTCCCAGAGATGGGACTCAATAAGCTCTTTGAACTTACAGGTGGGAAGATTTTTCTGAGGGAAGGTCTTTCCAGCCTTCCAAAACAGCAGGCAGGACTGGAGCGATAGCTCAGTGGTTAGAACAATTGCTATTCTTGTAGAGGACCCAGATTTGGTTCCCAGCACCAACACAGTGGCTCACAACCATGCAAAGCTCTAGTTCCAGGGGATCCAAAGCCTCTCCCACCCTCAGCAGCAACAGCAACAGACAACATGTAGCAAACATACATACATATATATATATATTTATATAGGCAAAAAATACATAAAACATACATAAAATAAATCACTGTCTTTATTATGCTCTTCCTTTCTCTGTCCCTTCTCAGGCCAAGTGCCCAGGAAGAGAGAGCAGGATAGTAGCACACCCAAGTAAGTGAAGGCAACCTGACAAAGTAAATAAACCCTTCCTCAGGGAGTCAGGAGTTTTATGGGGGGATGGGGTATTTATTTGTACAAGGTGGTTGGGGCCATTTGGTCCCAAGGCATCCAGAAGATGGAAAAGATCTAGGAAGATGGGAAGGGGAGAGAGGTGGAATAGGACTGGGCACTTGCTCTCCCTGCCCCAGACTGGAGCTGAGCTGAGCCGGATGAAATAAACCCAGTGTCCGGTTCAGAGGAGGCAGCTGCATGCTCCACAAGCAAATCCTGGTTACATCCTGGTTACAGTAGACCTCCAAGGCCACTGGGGCTGGAATGCAGCTGGACCTGAAACTCTGAACTCTTTCATTTCATAATGAAATGAGGTCCCACTGGGCACAGTTGGCCTGGGTATTCCTTCTTCTGAGCCTACTATTGGGCCTGCAGCCAAAAGAGGGCCCAGTACAGGCCCTCTAGTTGCTTCCAGATAGCTAGTGTTGGTGCCTGAGAGTTGAGTTGAGTCCTGGAAAAAGGTCCGGGGTCTGTCATGGGCACAAGGCCCTTCTAACTTCTCTCATACTCTCACTGGCCACTGCTCCTTCATATCCTACCCTCGTGGATTGCAGTTCTCAAAGCCCATTCTTGCTCACGCAGAGGCACACACACACTCTGCCCCTAAGCCACTTGCAGTCAGTGAGCATCCAGGTATTAGAAGTTTTTTGCATCTTGAGTTACAGGACCTCATCCTTCCTATCGCCATTGTTCCAGACCTCATTCTAACCACCTGTAAAACTTGAGGACATCCCTGCTGCATCCTGTTAAGGTCAACCTTGGGTCATTGTGTCCTGATTCTACAGGTGTCACCAATCCTTGAGACAGGGTGCCATAACCAAGGATCTTGTCCTGCCCATGAGGGCCATTCAATTGTCTCCTCTTCTCAGACTCTCCCAGCTTTGTTCTGCAACTTGGCTGACAACGGAAGCTTGGACTCGGGAGAATATAATTTGCATGTGCCCTTTTCCTTACAGGGGCAAGCAGACGGAAGTGGGGGCCCATGGGAGTTTGCAAAAAGAACACAGGGCATGGACTAGCCTCCTGGATTTTTGTTTCATGACAGGAGAGGTGGGTGGATAAGGCCTAGGTATACATGCATCCATGAACAAGGACAGGCGGTGGAAGAGGTCTGGGGAGAGAAGTACAAACCTAAGGCCAGGAGGTTTACTTTGCCAAGGACCCCCTCCCAAGCCTGCGCCTAGCTTCACCCCTAGCAACCTCCATGCCTGCCCAACCTTCTCTGTCCCGGACTTGGTTCAACTTCTCCCCATTTTCTACTTTGTGATCCTTAGCTCTCTCAACCTGGTCCCTAGCCCACGCAGCGGGTCTCGGATGCTGTCCTCTGGTTTGGGTGGATCCTGGCGGAGAGTTTCCCTAACAGTTTCTCCCAATCTCTGCCGGCCAGACAGTCTCCCGTGGGACCGCAGCGAAACCACATACTGGGCTGGCACCGTCTATTTAGAAGACAGCAGTGCACACAACTACTCTCCTCCCCAAACACGCCCCCTCCTCTCCCTGCTCCCCCCAACTCTTCACCACCATCACTCCGTTCGGCGCCCCACCTTTCCCCAGCTCCTCCCTCCTAGGCTGCGAGCACCCTCCCTCCTAGCCCTAATGCCCTTCCTCCCTAGCCTCCTATTCTCCTCTCCCCTCTTCCCTTCCCCAGTCCTAAGCTCCCACTTTCCATCTCACCCCTCTAGGCATCTTGCCTTCAGACCGTCACCTGCCTATTGGTGCACCCATCCGCGACGGGTCTCTTGAAGACCCTTGGCCCCTACCTCCTTAGTCTGGTGCCCCGGGGCAGCGCTCCTGGTTCCCGGGTTCCTTTCCATCACCCGCAACGCTGCCCCACACCCTCTCCCTCCGCGTCTTTCCTTCCCCTCCCCGCGAAGTTTCAGGGCTGTCAGTCCCGGAGTCTTTCAGGCAGCCCGCACCCAAGCGGCAGGCAGCGGGCGCCATTGTGCACACTCGGCCGCCTGGGACCGGAGGCCCGGGCGCCTGGGTCCCCGAAGCGGGCCGCGGCACCTAGCCGCAGGAGCCCGCCAGGTAAGGACAACGGAGGTTCCTGGGCAGGCGTCTCCGCCCGCCATCCAAAAGGAGCTTTGCCGACGCTACCGGCCCGCGGCAGGTGACAGCCCCCGGGGAAAGAGCGCGCTGACGAGGGTGTGGGGGAGGGGCAGGGGTCAGAGGAGGGAGGGAAAGGAGTGAGGAGGGAGGGTCCCGGAGCAGAGGGCGAGACTGGAGAACCCAAGGGGAGGGCAAGGAGTGGGGGAGAGGCCCGGTGGGAGCAGGTGGGAAGGGGGAGGGAGGGGCCTGCCTGGAGGATCCCGAGAAGGAGTGGGGTTCCTGGGACAGAGTGTAGGAGGAGGGGTCCAGAGCGCAGGGCCGGGAAACGGGGCGCAGGGGATGGGGCCTCTCGGGAGCGAAGGACGCTGACAGGTGAGCCTAGAACAGGGCAGGGGACCGGGACCCGGAGTGACTCCCGGAGGTCTAACGGGGGCGGGGATGGGGGGGCGGTCTGGTCAGGAGGAAAACTCCGGAGAGGGTGAGAAGTCAGTGAGGAGCAGAAATGGGCACCAGAGTCACTGAGGGAGGTGTGTTGGGAAGAAAGGGGGATGGGGAGGGGCAGAGTAGGGAGTAGGTCCAGAGACCGAGAGATTAGCTCCGATTCCCCCGGGGTGGGGGGGCGTGAGACCTGGAAGCAAGGGAGCAGTCCGGGAGGGGGAGGGGAAGAACAAGGCTGGGGACGGGGAGGTGAGGAAAGCGGAGCCGGAGCTTGCAGGGAAGGCAGAGGGGGAAGGGAGGCGGGGGCCGCTGAGGGGAAGGAGAGCTGCAGGAGGGAGGGAAGCCGAGGGGAGGATGGTGTGGGGGAGGGGGAGGGAACCGAGGAGAGGAAAGAAGGAAAAGAAACCCGAGTGGGGGAGGAGAGGGGAGGGGCAAGCGGGTGGGGGAGAGCAGCTGAGACGGGGAGGGCGGGAGTTGGGGGAGGAAGGAAAAGAGGAGGGGGAAGGAAGGGAGAGAGTGCAGCAATGGGAAGGGGGTGGCGCGCGGAGAACTAGGCGGGCGGGCACAGGAGGAAGGGGGAGGGGAGCGCTGCCCAAGACTGCTGGGAGTGGACGGTCAGGGAAGGCGGTAGCTGCTGAGGGCCGATTCCACGGGGGCCCCAAGGGGTTGACCCGGCGGGTGCACGCTGGGAGGAGCCAAAGGGGCGGGGCAGTAGGAGGATCCCCAAAAGGCAGCCAGATTTGGTGGGGAGGGCGGAAGGGAGAGGGAGAGGGGAGGGGCAGAGGGAAGGCTGCCAGGGAGGGGGGAGGGGAGTCTATTGAAGGAGGGGCAGAGAACCGGTTGGAGGAGGAGCGGGGAAGTGCAAAATCGGGGAGTGACCTATTGTGGGGGTGTCCTAGCCTAGTTAGTCCTGTGGGGCTTGTGTGGCTTTGAGGTAGTAGTTTAAGGAGGGGAAGTTAGAGTCATTTACTACCTCTGCAAGGACTCTGCCCGACGACCCCCCATCCCTAAAGTGACACTATTCATGGCTGACTTCTGTTTGACTAGCTCCTGCTGTGATGGCTAGAGGTTCCACGTTCCCCCACCTTGTCTCCCACCCTCTATCCAGAGAATTAAGAGGTCCCTGTACTTCCCCAGCCAAAGACACAGGGCCTGCTGAGGGCCTTGAGGCTAGCTCTAAAGACTTGATAGGCAGGGACAAGAACTGATGTGTATAGCCAGCCAGAGTTTGCAGAGGGCTTCACTGCCCTTGGGCACCCATCTTCAGAAGGCTCTGCTCCAGATGCGTTTCCCCTGAGTTTTTCACCTTTGTCTGGGACATCACTTTGGTGCTCTTGGGGACAGCTGAGACCTATGTAGAAGCTGACAGGAAGAGTCTGAACAGGGCTGTCTTTTTAGGGTCTGGCCTGATCACCTAGGAGAGCCAGCCACTCCTGGTGGCCATGAGAGAGACCCTGGAGGCCCTGAACTCCTTGGGTGAGTGGGGACAAAGGAGCCAGGAGGGAGGGAGTTGTTAGGCATATATGGTGTAGGAGTGTCATCCTCAGGAGCTTACAATCCTGAGCCCTTGAGGGTCTGGAGAGATAGACATCTTTTTAAGTAACCATTATATGCCTCTGATCAAGCCAGGATGGTTATATTAGACTGTATGCATGGGATTCACAGAGGACTGGAAGCTAGAAACAACAAAAAACCCTCTACATTTATGTGTTTATTTATTGTGTTCTCTGTATTACATATACCTATATGGAGGCGATGAGAATTTTCCGAGTCTGTTATCTCCTGCCATGTGAGTTCTGGAAAGCAAATGCAGACCAATTGGTTTGATGGCAGTTACCTATATCCACTGAACCATCTCTCCAGCCTAGCACTGGGATTTAAATATTTTCTAGTTCAAAATATTCAATTTTCCTTTCTTTTTCCCCCACCCCCATTAAAGGGTGAAAAACTGAGGTGAACAACTGGTCAGGCTATTGGGGAGCTTGGGAATTCCTTTGAGCATGCAGATGGGAGTGACCCTTTTTCCCAAGCCAGCTGGGGAAATGCCCCATCTCTGATACCACTTCAATACTAGAAGTTTCATTTAATCTCATCCTTCTGCCTATATACAGGATTCTCAGTGGGACAGCCCCAGATGGCTCCCCAAAGTGATCCCAGGGATGGGTTCAGTAATGGCCAGGGGAAGATGTCATCAAAGGAAGAGAACACACTGCACTCATGCTCAGGTAATTGGGAACAATGGAGGTCTCAGGAAAGAATTCTCCTTCTTCCACAAGCCATCTATGAGGCACCTGCTCTGTGCTGGATGCTATTCTTGGACATTTGGAACACTTCGGGCACTAAATAGACCTAGGTTCCTCCCTTCGTGAAGCCTAATATTAGAGGGGGCAACAGACAGCCAACAAGAAATGTAAACATGGTTAAAGTTATAAACTACCTTAGAAGATGGAAAGTGCTGTAGGAGGGATAAAGCAAAAAAAAAAAAAAAAAAAAAAAAAAAAAAAAAAAGCAAGCAAACAAACAAAAACCCCCCAAACCGAGAGGGACCTAGATGGCTGCTGATGGGAAGAGGCAGGGATGCCTAAGGTAAGATCTAACCTGGCTTTTCACTATTGTCCCCCTCATGATTCACCTTGGAACTGGGAGGCCTAACTGCTCAAGTCAAAGGTGTTTTCTTACTTCCACCTCCTCATAAAACACAGAGTCCAGAAACTCCTCACAGTCGTGGCTCTTGTCCACTCTTTGGCCACCGGGAATTTGCCTTTGCAGGAATGACATAGGATAGAGTTCTTTGGGTGGGTGGGTGGGGGTTCAGGCTTGCTTCTTATTACCAATGGGGACTGTCTTCCTTTTGTGATGTTTCGGGAGTCCTCGGGGCATCCTCTTCTCTTCCAGGGCATGAGACCCCTTGCCAGAAAGAAGGTATCCACACGGAACAAGCTGAAGCTCCTTGCATGGGCAGCCAGGCCTGTACCCCACAGAAGGCCGAGCCTGTTGGCTCTGTCCCAGGTGAGTGAGTCTTCCTGATGCTGTAGAATCAGGCGAAGGGAGCAGGGACCAAGCAGGTTCCAGTGCTCCAGTCTCTGACCCCTTTCCTCTGTAGACTTTGAGAGCTCCAAAGGAGTTTCACATCTGTGGACAGTAGAATGTGAACAGAGGGTACTGAAGGGAAGTGCATCTCATTTTAACCCACTTCTAGAGGTCTCAACTTCCCTCACCATCTCCCCAGTTCATACATGTTGCTCTCTTGGATTATAATCGCCACAAAGATACAGGGAGTTCTCATCTGTTCTCTGCCTCTATTGTGTGTGTTCCTTTTCCCAAATCTCTGCTGATCTTCATGGTATCAGGGAGCCCAGTCTGTAGCCCCTTCCCCTGAGTCTAGTCATTAGCTCATCTCTCTCATTCCTCAGGCAATCACTCCCTGGTCCTACCTATCACTTCTTATCATCATCACCACTTGCTTGAACAACATCACTTACCCAACAAGGATTTATTTAGTGCCTGCTACACAAAGGTGTTGAGTGTAGTGGGAAAAGACAGGGCGTCTAGCTGCACACTGGTTTGCACCCTTGTTCTGCATTGACCTGCTGAATGCTCTTGGGTAGGATGTGTGTGTGTGTGTGGGGGGGGTGCTGTGTTCCCTCCAGGGGTGGTTTGTTCATCTATCATCAGGGTGACAGTAACTTCATGGCTGGTATGAACTTTATGACACAGCATGCACAGTGCCTCATCCATAGTTGGCCTCAAATAAATGGTCACAGAGCTGATTTTTGTCAGACACATAAAAACACTATTGGATACAAAATTAGAATTTAAGATGTCTCCCATCCAGAAGCTAAAATGTAGCTGGGATGCTGTTACTATGAGGCAGAACAAATAATTAAATCAACAATGCGTAGTCAAGGGGTTTTAATTAAGCACAGAAGCTAATGTTAACAGTAATTGCTATATGAATTTACTGTAAAGGAGCCCTATGTGCTGGATGTGTCAGAGTGTGGAATTGCTGCAAGTCGGGTGTGGGAGGGGGAGACAGTCTTGGTAGAGAAAAGACTTCCAGACTGAGAGCAGGAAAGGTGGTATATGACAGGTATAGTGAAAGACAAAGCCTCACACCTGGATGAGGGAAGCTGGGGTAGGTGTGTAGGAGCTCCGTGCAGCTAGAGGCTATGGCTGATTCTCCAGCAGAGAAGAAGAGCAAGTGACATAAGAGGTTAAGCAGACAGTGATTTGGAACCAGTGAGTTAGAAACTAGGAGTGAATGTAATCTGTATGTAATATGATCAAGGCTCAGGCTATGACAGTCTTTCAGGGCCAGACAGCACTCAGATCATGTGGCTCAACAGTTCTCAGGCAAGATTCACTGGGGCTGGTCAGGGATGGGAGTTTTAAAGGAAAGGGACAGAGTCCTCTGCATGCATGAATGCATTTTGTCAGAGTTCCCTAGGAGCTTGAATCTGCCCTTGGGCTGAAGCTCCCCTTGAGGCCTCTCCAAGCTTCTCCAGGCAGTGGATCACTCACCAGTGCCCCCAGCCAGCAAGCTCCAATCTGTCTCCACTTCCTTGTGCCTTGATCCTGTAAACTTCAGCCTCTTTCATAATGGGACTTCCCAGTCCACTACAGCAGGAGGCAGGGAGCTGAGCAGTGGGCACCCAAGGGAATGCAGTATGCAGCAGTAGAGGGGAGCACAGGGTGCCCCTGGTGCTTAGGGAGGAAGCAAAAGAAGAGGCACCAAGGTTCCAAGGTCATCCTGCCTCCGAAGGTTAAAGTTAGCTGGGGAGTAGGCCTGTGAAGGTCGGGTGTTTGGTTTTCACCAAACTATAGCCAGTTTGAAGGACCCTCAAGAAGGGCCGCTGAGCTGAAGATGAGAAACTGCTTCCAGGAACCCTGCTAGTTGGGATGGTGGCGCAGCCTCAGGATTGTGGAAGCCCAGAGAAAGCTAGAGGACAGAGGTGGGCAGTAGTCCCGTTCTGGAGGGAGTAGCGGGGGAGAGGGTGTCTACTCAGGATTCAAGAAAAAGTTCCTGAGTGCGGGAGCTGGCAACCTGAGAGAAAGGTGGGGCAGTGCTTGCCATTAGCATTGGCTGCAGAGGGAACGCAAAGAGGGTGAAAGAGGACTTTGGGGTTTACTGAGTCCCAGGAAACCTTGTGTAGGGTACAAAGAGGAGCCAGATTGCAGGGATACTGGAAGTGAGGAGCCTACTGGAAAATGAATGTGCCCATGGATAGGCTTTCAAAGATTTTTTTTTTTTTTTTTTTTTTTTTTTTTGACTGTTCAGGGGAGGAGTGGATGATTCGGAAGGTGAAGGTAGAGGATGAGGATCAGGAGGCAGAGGAGGTGGAATGGCCCCAGCATCTCTCCTTCCTTCCCAGTCCTTTTCCTGCTCCTGACTTGGGTCACCTGGCTGTTGCATACAAACTGGAGCCAGGGACTGCAGGGGCTCTAGGTGGGCTTGCACTGTCCGGATGGGCCCCGATCCCTGAAAAGCCTTATGGCTGTGAGGAATGTGAGCGGCGTTTCCGGGATCAGCTAACTCTGCGACTGCACCAGAGGTTGCACCGGGGCGAGGGTCCCTGTGCTTGCCCGGATTGTGGCCGCAGTTTCACGCAGCGCGCCCATATGCTTCTGCACCAACGCAGTCACCGCGGAGAGCGTCCCTTCCCGTGCTCCGAGTGTGATAAGCGTTTCAGCAAGAAGGCCCACCTGACCCGCCACCTGCGCACGCATACGGGCGAGCGGCCCTACCCATGCGCCGAGTGCGGCAAACGCTTCAGCCAGAAGATCCACCTAGGCTCGCACCAGAAAACCCACACCGGAGAGCGGCCCTTTCCCTGCACCGAATGCGAGAAGCGTTTTCGCAAGAAGACACATCTGATCCGTCACCAACGCATCCATACTGGCGAGAGGCCCTACCAATGCTCCCAGTGCACACGCAGCTTCACGCATAAGCAACACCTGGTGCGGCACCAGAGGGTACACGATGCTGCTAGCCGCACCCGGTCCTCTCCCGATGCTCCTGCCTCTCCCCATTCCCCCGCCCTGTCCCCTCCTGGGCCCAAGCCTTTCTCTTGTTCCCACTGCGGCCTGAGCTTTGGCTGGAAAAAGAACCTCGCCACCCACCAGAGTCTACATCTCACCGAGGGTCGCCCTTTTGGGTGCGATGAGTGTGCACTGGGCGCTGCCATAGATCCCGCCGCCACGGAGCCATCAGCTTGCGCTCCCCACGCTCCTGACTGTGATCCCGGATCGGGGCCCGTGGCGCCCCAGCGCACCATCTCGGTTGAGCGCTCCTTCTTGTGCCCCGACTGTGGCCGCGGCTTCGCTCACGGGCAGCACCTGGCCCGGCATAGGCGCGTGCACACGGGCGAAAGGCCCTTCGCCTGCGGGCAGTGTGGCCGCCGCTTCGGCTCTCGGCCCAATCTGGTCGCCCACTCCCGGGCCCATAGCGGCGCTAGGCCTTTTGCCTGTGCGCAGTGTGGCCGCCGCTTCAGTCGTAAATCTCACCTAGGCCGCCACCAGGCAGTGCACACAGGCAGCCGACCCTACGCTTGTGCCATCTGCGCCCGCTGCTTCAGCTCCAAAACTAACCTGGTCCGCCACCAGGCAATACATACGGGCTCTCGCCCCTTCTCCTGCTCGCAGTGCGCCAAGAGCTTCAGCCGCAAGACCCACCTTGTGAGGCACCAACGCATCCATGGAGAAGCGACCCTCCCAAACTCATCCTCTAACCTCTCAGCTCCAGCCTGGCCCAGTTCCTCTGAGGTTGTACCGCCCCCAATCTTCTTCTAAGCGGATTCTGACTCTTATCCTTCCTTTCCTAACATTTGGGAGACTCATGCCTAGATAGAGACTGTGGGCTTTCAACACTCAGACTTCGGTTGCTGCTGAAGTACCAGAACATGTGTCATCGTCCTTTCCATAAAGTTAAGAACTCTGAAAAGCATACTTAGCTCTTGACAGCCATGATAAAGAACATGGAGAGAACCCTTACATTGGAAATTGGTCGTTTCTGGGGATCAACTAGATCAAGGCGAGACTGGGCAGGAAACCACTACCTAAAGGGAATGAATAGCTATTTATGTACTTGAAGTTCATTAAAGTTCAAATCTGGAATTTCTAGAACTGCTAACTGAGAGTCAGGGGTGGAAAGCCTGCCATGTCCACTTACTGCTAACTCCTGTCAGTTCAGGGAAGTTAAGCTTAGCTGGCTGGCTGGCTTGTTCATCCCAACCAATGTGTAATTTGCCCAGATGCCAAACAACTACCCTGGTTCTCTGTCTCTCTCTCTCTCTCTCTCTCTCTCTCTGTGTGTGTGTGTATACATATATATATATATATATATATATATATATATATATATATATATATATTCTCAGAAATTTAACCATGGGAGGAGAGAGTGAGAACTAGAGGGGGCAAGCTGTCTATTGTTTTTGTGAGCCCAGCATTGCCACTCTGGGTACTGGGTCTCTGTACTACCTACTGGAGACCTTCAAGGGGCTTCCCAGAAGGCCTCTCACCTGCACCTACCTAGGAGGTGTGAAAGGAGGCATCAGTTGAACAGGCCATAAAGGTTGTTTCTACATCACACTTCTCCACCAGTTCTGGTGAGGAGTGCTCACGTATGGAGGCGCTGCAATTGTACACACCCAAATTGGGGAGTCAGATGTACTGGGGCTGACTGGCTAGTAGTGACAGGGAGGAGCAGGGGTGGTGGGGGATAAGTTTGGAGAGAACTATTTTGGAATTGACCTCTCCTCTGCCTCATGGGGGACTTGGAAGGAATTGATTACTCTCCCAGAACTTCAGTTTCTCATTAAAATGAAAGCTGTTGTTGACAAGGGCTGAGACCACTTTCTATCCTATTAACTGATTACCACCACCATTCCAGGCAACTGTCTCCTGGATGCTAAGTTCTGGAACTGATAGGGAGCCAGTGTAGTAAGGACCCTTCCATCACAGCTTAAGTAGGCCTCCTGGTCTGCATTGCTGTTGCTGTGATAAAGCATCTTGGGCAGGAAAAAGTTATACTTTCAAGTCACAGTCTATTATTCAGGGAAATCAAGAACTGAAGCAGAGACCAAGGAAAAATACTTCTTATTGGCCTGTTTTCATTGGCTTGTTCAGTTTTTTTTTTTTTTTTTTTCTTTAAAAAACCCAGGACCACTGGGCAGTGGTGGTGCATGCCTTTAATCCCAGCACTCAGGAGGCAGAGACAGGTGGATTTTTGTGAGTTCAAGACCAGCCTGCTCTACTGAGCAAGTTCCAGGACAGCTTCCAAAGCTACAGAGAAATCCTGTCTAAAAAAAAAAAAAAAAAACCCAAAACCCCAGGACCACATGCCTAGCACGTGCCTAGGGGTGGTACTGCCCATAGAGGAGGAGGTCCTCCCACATCAATCATTAATCAAGAAAATGTCCCCACAGACTGACCCAAAGGCCAGTCTTGTGGAGGAATCTTCTTAATTGAGATTCCTTCTTCCCAAATGACTCTAGCTTGTGTCAAGTTGGCAACAAAACAAAACAGAAAACTAACCACCACAGTGGGCCGCTTGAAGTCAGAGTAATGACCCAAAGTCTAAGAACAGTCAGGGGACAGGATGCCACTTCTAAAGTCATGCCTGAAGAAAGGGCATGGGAAGCATGGGCGGGAGGTTGGATGGGAATAGAAGACCCAGATTAGGACCAATCCAAGATCAAGAGAGCTGCAGTGCTCAATACAAGGGAAGAGAAGCAAGAGGTAGCCTGAGAACCAGCCACTAGCACTCCATTGTAGAGAAGTTTGCATTGTATCTGAGGGAGTGGGGCCAACAGGTTTTAGGCAGGGTGGAAACATGGCCGTGTTTATATTCCTGAACTTTAGGAAGATGTTGGCTGAAGAGGGCATGGCTAGAAATTTGTGTATTTGTCACCCATCTGCCATGTGGTGGGGAACTTGTACCATAGAATTGTCAAAGGAGATGGAGAAGTGTTGAATTCAAGAAATACTGGGCAGCTGGTACAGGACTTGCTAAGGGGAATAGTGGAACCAGTGGGCCTGAGTTATGCTTAGCTGCCTAGCTTACAGCAGCTTTTTCTTGTGAAGTGTCCATGGGATGGGGAGCAGATTTCTGCTGGGACAGCAGTCTTCTACCTGCTGAGTAAGACTTGTAGAAAGTAGGCCATATTGGTACAGAGCTCAGGATAAGGTGAGGTAGAGAAGGTGATCTGGGAACCATCAAAGTTTCAGAAACTTTGAAGTATTAGATGCAAGCCTCTCTTGGAAGTGAGTATAGTTCCAAAGGGGGGGCGGTGTTAGTCTACACACTGGTGTGGGGCACAGACTATGAGGTAAAGATACTGAGAGAAACCTGTGAAGACTTGGGGAGGAGCACACAGCATGGAAAGCAGATCCCTGAGAGGAGGTAGTAGGGATGCATAGACAACCATTCCAGGAAGGAGGAAGCAGCTACAGGCTGGAGAAGGAGAGTGCATGAACCCAGGGTCCTGCACTTGGGTAGTAGTATGTAGAATCCTAGTGGTTGGGCATGTTCCAATTACAAAGGTGAGTCACAAAAGTAAAGTTCCAGAGTAGGCATAAGGGAAGGAGACCTGGATACCGGTTAAGGGAGGAGTGGGTATCAACAGGGAAGACTCTTGCTGTAAAGCCAAGGGCATGGCTATGTGCAAGATTTTGTTTCCTGGCTAAGAATGAGCAGGTAACTGTTGATTAGTGTGGGTGACTGTAAAACAGCAGTCCTTTCCAGCCCTGGCTACTGAAATCCCCATCACTCTCCCCGCAACCAAAACCCAGCTCAGTTTCTTTCTGCAGCTGTCCACCTGGCCTCTGGGGTAGTGAGCTGGTAGGATTTGCTGAAAGGCGGTTTCATGGACTGTGCGACTCACACACCAGTGCAGTGTTAACCTACTGCTTCCCTTCTCCAAACATTCTGGGATTCTTGTGTAACAGCATGTTTGATGAGTACTACTATGTGCCAGGCATTTCTGGGATTTCACATTCTCTTCGAGATTCACCATGCAGCAAATCTTTGTCCTTTGAACTTGTTTGCAAATAGTTGAAAGTCATTTAGTGTCAAGCCTGGTGATCAAAACAAATGGCAAGTGCTCAAAAACAAATGAGAGAGACTGGTGGTGCAGGGCTGTCATCCCAGCCACTGTGGAGTTTGAGGCAAGAAAATCAGGAGTGAGTTCAAGGCCAGCCTGGAGAACCTAGGGGAACATGAGAGGGGGAAATGGGGACTGGCAAGATAACTCAGTAGATAAAGATGCCCACTGCCAACACCTGCATTTGATCCCAGGGACCCACTTGGCAGAAGGAGTGAACTGACTTCTGCAAATCATCCACTGACCTCCACACACGTGCTATGGTATGAATATGTGTGTGCACACAGTAAATAAATAAAAAGACTTTTAAAAGGGAAAGTTCTGGGTTTGTAGCTTGGTAATGGGGTACTTGTCTGGCATATGCAAGGCTCTGTGTTCAATTCCCATCCACCCTCCTCTGCCCAAGACCTGAGTGAAAGGTTGGGGCTTTTGGCTTTGTTGCAAGGAGGTGCTGTAGACTCAGTCAGAGGTGGTCTTACCAGAATGAGTACACACACCTGTGTTTTTCCAGGTGGGACCCCAGGCGTGAGCCATTCTTGATACTGGCATTCAAAAATAAGAAGTAAAACAAATTATATGTATGTTTCATCTATAATGGAATGCTTTATTAATTACCAAAAATACATTTAGTCTCCACATTTCTTTAAATTTTCTTTAAACATAATTTTTTTTATTGATTCTTTGGAAATTTCTAGTCTCCTTCAAATCTTGTTCCACAGAAAGATTGTGGTAAACAGGTATGGAGCAGGAAGTGTGTAGTCCCAGTAGGTAATACAGATATTATAGATCATACCACCTGCCCGTGAGGAACTTAAAGTCTGGCTGAAGATGAAACGTCAAGATCCCACAAGCGGATGCTCTTTGTGCTCCTGCTGTTGCCTTGTAATTCCGTGGAGGAGCCGGGAAAGAGCTGGTGCGTTGCTTTCAACAGAGCATGCAGCCCTCTCACTGCTTTGCTTTGGCAGCTGTTCAGATGCCTAGGATACTCTGCTTCTCACTCTCTTCTTTTCCCATTCTCTTACACGGCGGCGGCACCATGTTAGGGGAGCCAATCAGTGATCAAAAGACTGTTTGCCCTGCTGGGGAGCCAATCAGTGATCAGGAGACTGTTTGGCAAGGGCAGAGCAAAGTGAGTGGACTTCAGCAGCACCTACTCCAGGCTGTAGTGAAATCTGCCAATCATATGACCTGTATGACACAGTCATCTTGCCTGTGGCAGAGCCTCTGGTTTCTCTCCTTCTTTCTGCAGGGGTGGACACTGAAAGCAGCCTGTCTGGGGGATCTGCCAAACTTGCCTGCAGACCTACAGTCAAAGAGACTCTAGGTGTGTCTCTGACTAGCTCAGACAAGCAGGTAGAGAGACTGTGGCATTTTAATCCTCTGAGCTTGTAAATCCACCCAGCCCTATGCAAGCATAGGAAACAGAGCACAAGCCCTGGATCTCATGGATTTCAGTCTTCAGATGTAAGATAAGCTATGTGCTTAATGGTAAATGCTCTGGGAAGACTCACAAACTTGAACCTTAGCTGAAAGAGAAAGCTGAAGCTTCACAACAGGCTGGGCAGGCACAGGTATTGCATCGTATCCAAGATTGAAGGACAGAGAAAGGGCAGGGTGTAGGCTGGAGCAGCCAGGGGTGTTTCTGCAGAGAAGTGTGCCCTGAGTGTGTTAAGAAGATGACTAGGACTGCAACAGGAGGCAGAAGACTTGGGATCAACACCAAGGCCATTGTGTAGGAGCTTGGGCCACAGGAGATCAGCTTCATGTAACTCTAGGCATTGAAAAGAGTGGTTATTGTTCTCAGGGTCAGTTCAGAGAAATCCCTTCTCTGCTGCAATGTTTGATGTTCAAGCTAGTGATGGATATTGTCTTAGTTAGGGTTTCTGTTGCTATGATGGAATTCCATGACCAAAGAAAGTTGGGGAGGAAAGGGTTTATTTGGCTTACACTTGCACATCATCATTTGTCATCAAAAAAAGTCAGAGCAGGAAATCAAACAGGGCAGGGATC